GTGTGCCTGTAACGCCTCCCGAGCTTTAATATATTGTATCATAATATAATCCTCGTAACAATTTGGAAATTGTGTATGTAAGAAACTTGGGAAAAATGTGTCCAGGCCCCAAAAGTGGGAACTTCGTGTGACTAGCCCCCCTGTACTTTGCCCCATGTGGAATAGCCCTAAAAAATGGGCTTTAATGTTTTAAGCCCTCTCCACGTCAGCTTTATACTAAAAGCAGATGGTATTTTACAAAAAAACCGAAACTGCCCTTCTCTTTCTTCCCCAGACGAGTCCTGGAAGTCACTTCTCATTAATGCGATATGATGGTGAAAATGGAGGGAAATTTCCCCCTTTTTTTACTCCATCTAACTAGTTAGTTCTCCATTACTCCTCCTCCTCAGACCAAAATTCTCTCCATAACTCTCTCCATCATGAGCAATAACTAGTTAGTTCTCCATTACTCCTCCTCAGATCAAAATGGCTGAAAAGGACATCATCTGCATTGTCTCTTCGCAGTATAAAGCGGTATTCTTGAAGATTAATTCTTCAACCACCATCTTGGATCTCAAGTTTGATGCGGCAGAGAGGTTAGATCTTCCATACGAGTCATTAATTTTGGCATACGAAGATCAAACAGTTGGAAGCTTAAAATTTCTCATTGAGAACGATGGTGATCTGACGTCTATGGTGGAGCATTGCCACAATCTTGGACTGAAAGAGGTTCACGTGCAAGCTTTTAAAGAAGGAGATGATTCTTCGAATAAACAGGAAAACGAGCAAGTCCGACAAGACATGTAGGTTAACTGTAAAATCAATTAACTTAAGTTCTAATCGTCTTCTTGTTAGTTCTATACTAGGTTTAACTGGACTTCAGTTCTAATGTTTTATTTGTCATTAAGCAGTTCTTTGTTATGCTCCATACTAGAGTTCTAATGTTTTATTTGTCAGTTCTAATCGCTATTTTGTTAGTTCTACTAGAGTTATTGCTGGTTCCACTATAGTTCCCATATTGTTAGTCCTAATTGTTATAAATTAGATATAACGTGGTATAAATTAACGTGGTATAAATTAGACAATGTAGGTATAAAATAGAACTAACAAGCCATCAGTTAGAACTGACACTAACACACTACAGATTAGAACTAACACTGTGCATATTATTAGAACTAACACGCTACCGAATAGAACTAACACTGTAGGGGATTAGAACTAACACTCTACAGAATAGAACTAACACTGTGCAGATTAGAACTAACACTCTACAGAATAGAACTAACACTGTGCAGATTAGAACTAACACTCTACAGAATAGAACTAACACTGTGCAGATTAGAACTAACACTCTACAGAATAGAACTAACACTGTGCAGATTAGAACTAACACTCTACAGAATAGAACTAACACTGTGCAGATTAGAACTAACACTCTACAGAATAGAACTAACACTGTGCAGATTAGAACTAACACTCTACAGAATAGAACTAACACTGTGCAGATTAGAACTAACACTGTGCAGATTAGAACTAACACTCTACAGAATAGAACTAACACTGTGCAGATTAGAACTAACACTCTACAGAATAGAACTAACATGTTATAATTTTGAAATAGCTTGTTATAAAATAGAAATAACTTCGTTAAATTAGAACTAACCTTTAATGGCTATATTGTTTGTTCTAATAGCTATTATGTCAGTTCTAATCAATGCACTGTTAGCTCTAATGGTTATATTGTTAGTTCTTTTAGTTCTAATTGATTCTAACAGCAAGCAATTGTCGTTTTTGCTTTTTAGCTTTTGCTATTATCTGTTGATACTTCTATTATTTGTGCAGTTTGAAATCAAAAAGTGTAGACTGTGGCCCGTCGGCGTTGTTGACCACAAGTGTTCCAGATAAGAATCCCAATGACAATCCTTCCGGAGATGATGTCATGACGATTGATGACATGATTAGCAGATCAGAGAGGATTCCTGCTTGGTGGCACACAGCTTTAACCGGTGAGGGACAACGATTTGAAAGTGCGAAGGAGTTAAGATTGGCCTTGCTATACTACTCCATGGCAAAAAAATTCGAATACGAGTTTGGGAAGAATGAACCGAAGCGTATTCGAGTGTTTTGTCGGTTTAAGGCAGCAAAAAATTGTCCGTGGATGTTATTTGCCTCTCCACCGAAAAATGATAATAGACTTGAAATCAAAAGGTTTGTGGACAATCACAGTTGTGGGCAGCATGGCAATAATGCTGGTCAATCTAGAGCCTCAAGGCGATTCATTGCTACCCAATTACAACCCACGTTAAAGGTTCGACCGGATATACGGCCTATTGACGTTCAAAAGGAGTTTCTAAGCTCGTATGGGATTAGGGTCGATTATAGTAAGATTTGGTGGGGTAAAGAAAGAGCACAAGAGAAATTATATGGTGATGCCCATGAGTCCTACGATCAATTACGATGGTAAATAGAAGATGATATATAACAAAATGAGGGGATTAGGGTCGATTATACTAATTTTTCAATGTTGGTACTAACGCTTAATCTTCAATTTTCTAGGTATGTAGAAGAGGTCAAGAAGACAAACCCAGGTAGCTATATTCATGTTGAACAAAATGAGGGGAGGTTTACAAGGTTATTCATATGCTACGCCGCCTGCATAAATGGTTTTTTATACGGCTGTAGACCACTCTTATTTTTGGATGGTACCTTTCTTAAAGATCGATTCAAAGGCATACTCCTAAGCGCCGTAGCATATGATGGAAATCAGGGGATATTTCCATTGGCGTATTGTATATGCGATCAGGAAAATAATGTTAACTGGAAGTGGTTCTTACAAGGTTAGTTCTATCCCTAGCCATGTTAGTTCTGTTGCAGGTTATGATAATTCTAGCTCATTCATTGCTAACTCTAATTCGTGTATGGTAACCACAACTCTTTGTAGGTTTGTGGTCTATTCTCTATGAAAGGCCAGATCCATACAACCCTCCACACAAGCTAGTGATAATTTCAGATGCGGATAAGGGGATCAGAGAAGCAGTTAGAGAATTTTTTCCAGATTCTATACACTCTCGATGTGTGTTGCATCTAGTTGAGAACTTCAGGACAAAGTTGAAGGATTTGGGATTCAAATCAAAAGATACTCAGATCTTGGGTAATCTATTGCAATCTGCCTGTTACAAATATACTAGAGCAGAATGGAACGATTACATGGACGACATTAGACTGGTTGACGAAAGAGCTTACAATATTGTGATGAACTACGCTCCAGAAAACTGGGCCAATGCGTTTTTTCCTGGAGTTAGGTAAGTTATAAGCTATTTCATTACATGACTATTATAAGCCGCTTGACGAATTCCCTATTATGTTTCAGATATGGTCACGTTACATCAAATGTTGCAGAGTCATTCAACAAATGGATACATGACATCAAATGTTGCAGAGTCATTCAACAAATGGATACATGAGGCTAGGCTACTACGGATACTTCAACTGGTAGAGCACATACGTAAACAGATTATGGTTCGTATGAATGAGCGACGAACCATGGCTGAAAGCTGGAATCAATTTCTTTGCCCCAAAGCTGAACTTGCTCTCAAAGAGAACATGGAAAATGGCCGTCCATTGGAGGTTCGTCAGTCCCACACAGGATTATTTGAGGTACAATCCCATAGATCTTGTCAAGTGGATCTAGACAATAAAACATGCACTTGCCGTGGGTGGGATGTAACCCGTGTCCCTTGCAAACATGCATGCGCATCCATTATGTTTATGAAAAGGGATGTCTACCAGTTCTGTGACTGGTTTATGACGGTTGAAGCCTTTAAAAAGAGCTACGAGCCAATCCTCTACCCTATCCCTGACTTTGAGAAGCGCATCGTGCCAAGGGATGAGATACAGATCCTACCTCCACTTACAACAAAAAGGAAAGGGAGAAATAAAACCAGGCGTATCAACAACAGAACTGTTTACACGCGGCCAGTAAAATGTTCTCGCTGTCATATGGAAGGTCATAACCGTAAAACATGTAATGAATCTATAGCTGACTAAGTGTTTGATATGTTGAAGTGGTTTCGTCCCTATATGCAATAAATATTTTGTTTTTTTCCGATTGAATGTTTATTCTTGTTAATCGGGAACAAACATCAGCTTCCACTAGATAAAAAGTTGTAAGTAACAAAACAACTATCATATTAGGCCTAACGCGCACAAAGAATAGAACTAACATCTTAGTTATTCAATGCACTCGAATAACTAGGAGTAACAAGCCAAAGAATAGAACTAACTTGGTATCAGATAGTACTAACATGTAATGAAGCAGAACTGACTTGGATCGGAACAGGTTACAGAATAGAACTAACACTGTGAATATTAGAACTAACACGCTACAGAATAGAACTAACACTGTGAAGATTAGAACTAACACTCTACAGAATAGAACTGACACTGTGCAAATTAGAACTAACACTCTATCAGAATAGAACTAACACTCTACAGATTAGAACTAACACTGTGCAGTTTAGAACTAACACTGTGGAGATTAGAACTAACACTCTACAGAATAAAACTAACGTTCTACATAATAGAACTAACACTGTGCAGAACAGAACTAACTTGCTATAAATTAGAACTAAAGGAGAAGCGACCTCCGCAATAGGCCTATGGACAAATGTTATTGACGCTGACTTAGCCTTTGAAATAATTATCGGCATCCTCATAGATGCGATTCTCTCCTCCCCTGATGCCCAATTTGTCATTGGAGGTCTAGAGGTGTATAAGAGGGCATATTTCTTTATGCCTGTCATCTCGTAGTACCAAAGCTGTACCAAATAATATATTTACCATTAACATTTAATACTAGACTAGACTAAAGAGAATAAAATATGGCTGCATCTAGAACTAACATGGTGTAAATTAGTACGTGGTACGACATGAATTATGATAGAACTAACATGACCTATGATAGAACTTAAATGGGTGCAGATAGAACTAACACTCTACAGAATAGAACTAACACTGTGCAGATTAGAACTAACACTCTACAGAATAGAACTAACACTCTACAGAATAGAACTAACACTCTACAGAATAGAACTAACACTCTACAGAATAGAACTAACACTGTGCAGATTAGAACTAACACTCTACAGAATAGAACTAACACTGTGCAGATTAGAACTAACACTCTACAGAATAGAACTAACACTGTGCAGATTAGAACTAACACTCTACAGAATAGAACTAACACTGTGCAGATTAGAACTAACACTCTACAGAACGGAACTAACACTGTGCAGATTAGAACTAACACTCTACAGAACGGAACTAACACTGTGCAGATTAGAACTAACACTCTACAGAACGGAACTAACACTGTGCAGATTAGAACTAACACTCTACAGAACAGAACTAACACTGTGCAGATTAGAACTAACACTCTACAGAACGGAACTAACACTGTACAGATTAGAACTAACACGCTACAGAATAGAACTAACATAGAATAAGTTAGAACTAACAATGCATAGGTACGAATTAGAATGAAACAAGATCAGTAAAATATGGAACTTACACACAATAGTGTCATGCAACCTGGGACATATGCGACCTTTTGCTTCTTCTTTCCCTCCAAAGCAACTCCAATGCCCCTGATAATTTCATTATAAAAGAACGGGGCCCATGCAACAGAATTGACCCTCTGAATGCTATCCAGGTATCTGAGTAAGGGTCTAGGGATACCTTCCCCTGCTATGGGACTCCATATCATAGAGCATTGGTACAAAATTTGTAGCAGAGCAAAATCCTCGATATCCCGCTTTTTGGTAGATTCAACAAGCCGTTCAAGTAGCCCTTCAAGATGTTTACGTTGGCTGGTTTCTGATTTTTTTAACTTCTTACCCTCTTCAGAAATGAAAAGCTTAGCGAAGTATTCCAGCCATATTCTGCTTCTTGAGTCCCTATTGTTCCTTATGTCCTCCCCATAAATTGGGAAATAAGTATGGTTGTGGACCCATTGCAAATCAAAACTAACATTTTTCATACCCCCACTTTTTGAATCAGGTATACAAAAGGTGTTATTATCTCTATCGAAAAAGCTCAGCAGCAGCTCAAGGGTGGGCCGATCAGCCGCAGGAGCCCCAAACAAAATGTAGTGCTGAAATATAGAACCGCAGTATGCATCCCTATGCCACTGACGGATCTTCGGGGCAAGGCGCTTCATAAATGCCCAATAAGCCCCGATATTGGCCGTTAACCTTAGTGTTTCTGCTGAGCCTGTTAGAGCAATTTTTTCCCTGCAAAAAATTTTCGAATTTGTAAGTTCAATAAGACATATGAAACAATATTAGACCTAGCACTAACGGGAACAAAATAGAGCTAACACGTAATATTATAGAACTAACATTGGACTCATATTAGAACTAACATTGGACTTAAACTAGATCTAACGTTGGTATAAATTTAGAACTAACATTGGACAAAGCCTAGAACTAACAATATTGGGTTAATCTGCATTGTCTCTTCGCAGTATAACATAAGCCTAGAACTAACAATATTGGGTTAATCTGCATTGTCTGTTCGCAGTATAACATAACACTTACTGTTTTTTTGAGGGGGGTTCGTTGGTACGACCAGCCATTGTCGTCCTCCTTTTCTGGTCTCGCCATTGTAATGCCTCCTTTTGCATTTCGATTAGGGTTTTCGTAGCTTCCGTAGCTTCCTCCGTGCTGCCACCCGCAGATGAAGCGCCTTTTCCTTCCAACTCGGCTCGGTGCCCGACCTCGTAGTCGTTACTGGATTTTTCCGTAGACGACATTTTTCCGGCGAAAACCCTAGAAACGTTGAAATTCGTACAGAAATTAGGAAGATGAAGAGTTCTTGATGACGGTGCTAGGTGGAAGAGAGAGAAAGAGAGAGAGAGTACTTGTAAAGGTGAGGGGCACATTAACCCAGCTCAGTCCCATCAGAGGGCAAGATAGTAACTTCCGCTGGGCTTTTTCTGAAAAGAGTCAATTCGGGGCCTCGTCGCAAATACTATGCGTATTTGGGCTATTCCACATGGGGCAAAATACAGGGGGGCTAGTCACACGAAGTTCCCACTTTTGGGGGCCTGGACACATTTTCCCAAGAAACTTTAAGAAATACAGTTTTATTCTCGTTTGTTTTACACTAGAGATACAGTTAAATGTAAGAAACAAGAATTATAATCCAATAAAAAAAGATCGGGTATAATCATGAAAATGACTTTTTGTACTTTCAACCTAGCTATGATAATAGGACTATAATATTTATAGACTCTATATCAATTATTTATTGATTTTTCCACAACCTATTTTCTTCTTCTCTTCCCTATCTCCGTCATTGATTGCAATGGGTACTAAATTAATAGCTCTTGTAGTTATTAGTCTAATAATATTTCTATTTGTAGCGAAACTTTACACAGTGGAAGCAATATAACTATAAAAATCATAATTGCAACATGCTAGTTAGAATGTAATACAAATAAATTCTCATAAATATGATGTATGTAATATCTCATTTCACAAGCCTATAAGTAGATGACATAAGATTGTATTTGAAAATGAAGAAAAAAGAAGAATTGAAGGATCGAGTGCTCATTGTCTTCTTTCTATTCTCTTTACTCATATTGCTATTAATTAGCTTTATAACAATACTAAGTATTCAGGCCCAGCCCTGGGGTAAGCCCACCAAGCCCCGAGGCTGGGGCAACCCAGGGCCGGGGGGCAACCAAATTTTATATATATAATGCAGCGTTATAATTTATAAACATAAAATCTCAAGCTTTAACATGATGTGTGCTTAATATTGTGGTTGTGGGGTTTGTCTGTTGTGTAAACCGCCCCTGTTCGAGTTCAGAGGGTGCAATTCGTCAGTTTTTTTTTCTTTTTCAAACATGTGCATATGTATGATGACTTAATTGAAGAATTCGCTTCAAAAAATTCAGGAAGAAGTATTTTTCTTTGAATTAAATTGTAACACAAATATAATATTTTTTTATATGAAAATTGATTTTGTAAGAGAAAATTATCAGTTTGAGCCCAATATAGAACGCTAAATAGTATTATATGTATTCATTTTTATCGTTGTTGTTCGTACCAAATTTTTAATGTAATGGACAACCAAAATTGAATTGAGATAGGGCAACCCAAACCTCGGGGCCGGCCATGTAAGTATTGTGAGGGGAAAACTAATTATTTCACTATCATTTGCCTCACCCGACCATTGTATTCCACTCCTATTGAGCCCGTTAATTGCGTCGTACGGGGACTAAATCGCATTATTTGCACCAAACACAAATAAATAATTAACCTCTCTCTTTCTGATGAAAAGACAAAAAGATAAAAAAACGCATCCAAATTATTTGCTATTTCTGACTTGATGCCAGGCTGCAGCTCGGGGAGCATCGGTTGGGGTTTTTCGACGTTGCGCCAAAATCTGCGTTGGAGATGACACGATTATGCCAAAATCTGTGTTGGAGCTGACTCAGCATCTAATATAAATATCTTGAACTTTGATTTGCTTCCAAACAAATCTCTGTAGCTTTTACGTTACAAGTTGCTACCGTACTAGCGCGTGTACAAATAATGTCCCCCGTAAAAAAAATAGAGACAGAGAGATTAACGCATTGATTATAGTCATTGATTTGTTTAATAGATAGTTATGATTTATTTCAAATCTAACACTCATCAAATACTCATGATTTGCACTCATTTCTTAATTTTTACACTCAAAGGCAAATCATGACCATCCATTAAACAAATTAACGGTTATGCTATATTGGGGAGGATCCAAGTCAAATTAACGGTTGTGCACATGACACAGTTTTTGAAGATACAATATTGTTTGATACTAAAAGAATGGTAATTATTTGGTAATATTATTTGAACTTATTTAATTTAAAATCATATTATACTTTCAGAATGACTTAAGACATGTATTTAGTGGAGTTACATATGCATTAATTACAGTATAAATATGTTTTTGCATTTTACTTTTTGCGTACACTTTCAAACAATCGAAAGTCACTTTTTTTTTCCTCCCATTTTCATTGAAACAAACAGTATCATCAATGAAGTAAATACCAGATAAACAAAAATAGAAAGCTAATATAAATTTTATTCAATGTTTTAACGTAAGCATAAAACTGTGGGCTGAAGTATTCTCTATTTTGAGACACAACGGTTAGCTATAAAAACAACAACAGAGCTCTTCAAAATGTTGGTCTCTCCTCCTTTTTTATTTTTTCCTTTTTGCTCTCTGGCTTCGCTTATTAAGAGGTAACCATCCAAATCCCATCTGTTCTCTGTTTCTCTCCGATGTGGGATTATTAGTTCTCTCTCTCTCTCTCTCTCTATTTCTGAGCAATTGGAAACTTGACATCTTGAATTGATGTTTTCTTTTCTTTCTTTATTGTTTGACTCGTAATGTTTTGGTGATGTGCATTCTTTTAAGAATCTTTTGCCCGCGTGCTTTTAAGAGATCCATCAGTAACTAAGATGGATTATGATAGGTTAGAGTGTAGCTAGAGCTTGTATATAATCATGTAGCTTTTTTTTTATTTGAAGACAAAGTAGTTGGTTTTTGTTTGAAAATTTGCCAAGAGTTTACAAGTGTTAATTAGGATGCATCATTGTATTCAACTAATTCTGATTGGACTTGGATTGAGATTTGATTTTGACTAGACTGAAACGATTTCAATTGAAATTGGATTCCAAGCAAAAGAAAATTTGGATTTGACGATACAAAGTCAAAGAAGGAATCCTTAGGAGGAAAACTTTATAAATACTCTCATCCATTGTAATTCAAGCAATAAAGAAAAGATTGTGTAATTGTAAAGGAAGTTGAATAGAGCGCAGAGAGGAAACAAAGGCGAAATCCTAGGGTTTGAGATTAAGAAAAGGATTCTTGTACAACAAAAGAAAGACGAAGATCTTGTAATCTCAGGTAATAAAATTGATTTCTCTCTCCATGTGGCCATAGCCAGTAGTCGAACCACATTAAATCCGTCTTTGCATCTGATTTACTTTTTTGCGAGATAATAAATATATGTTTGCATATGCGTTTGAATTTGCTCTTCGATTTGTTGCTTTTTGCCTTGTTGGTTTGCCCTAGATTTCGAACATAAAGAAGTAATGGTGCACCGATGGGATACAAACATGCACGTCACTATACTAGGTAGAAATATGACACAAGAACAATTGATAGCACATGAGGTAAAGTTATCAACATGGATTTACAAGAGAAACAATACGTCGGAGCATGTAAATATACGCATCAAAAAACTAAATAAGATAGTTAATCTAGCATCTCCACATTAGACTTTTTCTTAAAAATAACTTTATGATGCAATCTTTTGTAAGGTTTTTATACATATGAGATACCTTATAAATTCTTGAATACACATGGAAGTATTTGGTAAGTATTCTCTAGTATGCTTCATTGAGCATCCTGCAACAGAAGTGAAATGTAGTTTGGCTTATGTGGGTCAGGTCAGTTACAGGTTTGACCCCCAGATGACTAACCTGACCCAATTGCCGCAACAAATTAAATGATATTAGCTCTGAAATAAGATATTGGTATTTAACTACGCTCTTTTTGTTACGTGTGTGTGTATATATATATGCTCAGAGAATAATGATAGACATTAAATCTGCAGGATAAGCATATTTCATATGGACTCAATGACAATGGACAAAGCAGCTTCTGATGAACTTGCTCGCGACTCCCTCATAGCGCTCTCTCAGTCTACTCCAGAGGAAATCCTCAGTTCTAACTCATCATTCGCCTTTGTAGACGATGCCAATCTAACCGAAGCAAATGACTGTAATGGAGCAGAAGATCATAGATCAGAGTTGATATCACTTTCTTACATACAATCTCCAGACTGTCAACCGCCGCAGCCTAAAGCAAATGACTGTAATGGAGCAGAAGATCATAGATCAGAGTAGATATCACTTTCTTACATACAATCTCCAAACTGTCAACCGCCGCAGCCTTGAGCACGATAAAGAACATGAATAATTTTGAACAATTTGAGACGTTAGTCTTATTTGTTAGAGATATGATTGTAATTTTTACGAGACCATAATATATTCAAGAAGTCTTTTTGCTAAATATATGTTTATCAGAGGCTTCTGCATGATATTTGGAGAACAGAACCCATATATCTCATCTTCATATGTATCACTTGTTGATCATTGTAACTGTTGCTGGTCTTTCCAATTTTGAGTTTTTCAAATTGTTATGTTCTCATGGTCTTCACTGCTTGCTGTGATATGGATTTATGAGATTTTCCAATAGTTCAAAGGGGGTTTAGTATGATTGTGAAAGTTCAAGAGGGTTTATAAAGTAAACCAATCATTCAACTATTAAGCAGACAAGACCAACGTTAGAAAGACTATATATCATATGAACCATATGTATTAGTCAACAATTAAAAATAATAAATGAGAACATATTTGTTAGTAGAGTTTACCTCTTTTTAAGATGACCTGCAAGCTTAACTAACTACACAAAGTTAGATTGGTATGTTAAATAGTTCCATGTTGTTTGATACTATTGTTTGGTGGAAAATTTGCGGTAAAAGAAATGAAAGAAATTTTTGATTTAGATTCTCTCGATCTCAATTATAATTGGATTTCGATTACAAAAGAGAGGAGAATGGTCTGGATTCCCCCCTTTGTTTAATACTGGATTCTTCACGATAGCGATGGAGTGACTTCTTCGAATGTTCGTGTCGAATTTGCTCTCCGTTGACGATCCGACCTTCTTGTCTCCCGGGAACAATTAACTTGTATGGCAAGTTTGATTGAGAACTCTTAACAAGTTTAAGAACTCAGAATGAGTTAAAAACTCTGAAAAGAGTTGTTGAAAACCGAATAATCGGTTAGTAGCCAAGTGGATTTGTTTGTTGCTGAAGGATTTGGTCTCCTAGCTGCCAAGAACTCTCTTGTGCTGATTTCGTAGATGATTTGATCTTCGAAATCTGGCCGAAATCTCCAATCTCCGAAGAATTCGCCCTTAATCTTCAGAAAATCCAACCCTCTGCCGAAAAATTCCAACCGCTTACTCAGTTCAGTAATACAGTTATTTATAGGGGGATAAGGGGTATAACCAACCCCTAAATCCGCTCCTAAGTGGGCGAAAATCCCTCAAAACGTGAGATAAACGGTTTTGAGGCCGTTCAACTTGTGTTTGAACGAGTCAAACGCCTAAATTGACATTTTAGACCTTAACTCTACGTCTTAGACTTGAGACGCAGAGTTAGGTATCTGCTATAGATTGGAAACGCACAGGCCGTTCGCGTTCTGAGTCTTAACTCTACGTCTTAGATTTTAGACGCAGAGTTGAGTGCCTGCTGAAAAACGCACAGGCCGCTTGCGTTTTGAGTTGAGAAACACAGAGGTGAACTCTGCGTTTAGAAGTGGTTGTTGACTTGTAACCTCTTCTATTACAGTGTTGCGAAGGTTATTGCTCATTGATCATTACTTTAGCTGTTGTGGGGTGTGAAAGTCGTCAGATTGTAACTCTCACTGTTGATTGTGAAGACTACTGAATAGAGTTTTCATCAGTTGTCGGAAGCGTCGTTGAATTGTAACTCTTCTCAATCATATGAAAAGTTCTCCATTTGCAGTTTTCATTTGTTGACATGAGAGCCATATGATTGTAACTTTCATCATCAAGGTACAGAAGTCGTCGGATTGTAACTCTCATCATTAAAACCTGATGGGGATCAGCTATCTATTGTGATTTTTAGACAGCCTACAACTATTTGTACTAAATATGGTGGATTTCATGTCATCAGTGGACAAGTTTTTCCATTCCACTTAGCTTTAAATAAGCAATTTAGTTAAACAATAGTATTGATCCTTCAACCATAGATAGAACAGAAAATGTTGGTTTGACATAGACCCATGCAAGAATGGGCTTTAGTGAGCTACTGGACATTTCACAAGGAGTTCCAAGGAAGCGCCACGAAAATGTAATTTTAGAGTATAAAATCATTCCCGTCGATCCTCAACATAATTTCAGAGTTTTGATGCAGCAACAATGATCCTTTAACAATATATTATAGAAAACCCAAGTCGGAATCTTATTGGCCACAAATTTCTAACACGAATTAAAAAAACTACTTCACGAGTTCATGTTTAGGCCCATAAAAGGACCCCCAACCTGCATGTTAGAGTACAATGTTATAACTCTTAACATTCATCATAGCTTCAGAGTTTTGGTACAGCGACAAGGTACATTGATGGTAATAAACATGGTGATATCACACAAATGTACATTGTGTAATGCATGCATCATGTGCAGCAAAGTACTAGTATGACCAAAAAGAAGAATATGAAAATCATAAAGAAAACATGTGTCAAATATGCAGGTCTCTTTTCTTTTCTTCTTCAAACTATACTTGTTACTTCAGCATGTTACAAACTGTAGAAGATGCTACACCGACGAAGAAAACACAAGCATTCAAGTTAAGAAGAGAAACCTGAATCGGAAATGGAAAAATTACCATCAAATTGGAAATGACGAACTTTAGCTTAGAATATCTCGCCTCCTTATACAGCAAGAACAGAAGAAGATCCAACTCTAGACTGTACCCATGAGATCACGTCCTCTCTCTCAGCAACAAAACTCCCCCCTCTTGACTCATCCCTCCGAAAAGGAGCAGCCAATTTCTTCAAATGTGACGCAAATGCAACAGGCAAACCCTGCGAAAACCTATGAGTCCCTGAACCGGTATGAATCAAGAAATTCTGAGGCAATACTTCATCGTTCTCAACAGAGCTCGATAAACTCTTTATCCACTCTTCGAAAGCAGTGTTTGCTGCTCCAACTGAGAGCGATCGTAGGTTTAGTGACCACTCATCGGAGCTCTTTGTATGCATACCAGGATATAATCCATAGAGATTTCCCAAATATAAAATCTCATGCGCTCTCTGAGAAGGAAAGCCTCGGTTCAAACATATATCTATCAAGCAATTGCAAAAGGGCCTTCTCACTTCTACACTAGCTTGATTCAATATCCCTTTAAGTTCTCCCTTAACCTCATCAAATCTAGTTTCTTCATCTCCTAACATCTCAATGAATCGAACAAGCCTAGGGTTTGCCTCCTCTAAGCAAGAAAGAACCATATCAATCTCCTCCTGCTCACACAAGGCAACAACGGAGAGCAAACACCCACAAAGCCGATCATCAGGCCTAACCCCTCTCTCTAACGAAGTATTGAACACTTTCACTGCATCTTTCACCCTCCTCACCTTTGCTAGACACTGAATCAAACAAGTGCAACTCATCACGTTAGGCTCAATTTTGTTGTGTATCATTTCATCAAACATCTCTAAAGCTCTCTCTGGCTTCCCCCCGCTCCCATATATATTGATCATCGCTGTGTAACTCCAATTATCAGGCCTCGGGCCACTCCTCCTCTTCTTCATATCCTCAAACAACTCCTCCGCCTCCTCTTCAAGCCCAAGATCCGCGCACATTGACAACAGCGTGTTGTACAGAATGAAATCCATCGGCCAGTTCCTCTCCCTCATCCTCCCCCAAAGCTGCAGAGCATCCTTACTCCACCTCGCCTTGCCATAAATCTTGATCAAAGCCGTCAACGTTTTCTCATTCGGCGACAACCCTTCTTCTACCATCTCCTCAAACAAGCTCCGGGCTAGCCCAGGCTTTCCTGCTTTCCCCATTGCCTCCAACAACGAGTTATACACAACAAGGTTAGGTTTCACTTCAAGCCCCCTCATCTCTCTAAGAACATACTGAATCCCATCATAGTCCCCGGCCTCGCCAAACATCTTCGCAAGCACCGCGAACGCAACCGCGTCGGGCTTCCAGCCCCCCGCCCGCGCCCGCTCGTACAACCCGACGACCTCCTCCCTCTTCCCGAGCTTCGCGTACACGTCAAGCGCCGCCGAGTAGGTAACCTCATCAGGCGTCACCCCAGCCCCGATCGCCTCGCCGAACCTCCCACACCTCTTCAAACAGGTGATGATCGTGGAGTAAGTGACGTTGTCCAGCTCGGTCTTTTCGTCGAGCATCTGGTGCGCCAGCCCCTCGACGATCTCGTGTTGCTTCCCCCGTGTGAGGGACTTCATCGTGACGTTGTAGAAGATGGTTTCGAGGGGGAAGAAGCTGCGGGTCTTGAGGTAGGTGAAGAAGTGGTAGCAGTTCTGCCAGGGCCGGAGGGTGTTTAGGAGGAGGAGGGCGGTTTCTTGGTCTGGGGGCTCGGGGAAGGCTTCGTCGAGCTTGGAGATAGCTCTCGCGTTCGGAGAGGAGAGAGAGACAGGAGAGGAGGCGAGAGGCTTCGACGTTGAGCGGTTAGGGCGGCGTTGGGTGCGGGGTGAGAGGACAGCGATCGGCCTGGCCGAGATGGTTTGATTGACCCAGGATGGCCTGCGCTTGGCTTCCGGGGGGTGTGGGGTGGTTGGCTGGGATTGGGCTCGTGTCGTTTGAGATGGTAAGGAGAGTGTTTGAGCTGTCTTATTATATAGGTTTGGCGTTGGGTTTCGCCGTGGATTTGGGAAGGATTGATGGAAGGAGGGGAGGAGGTGAAGCAGTTACGAGGAGGAGGAGAGAAGTATTATTAGAGAAGCAATGGAGGTAAGCCATTGATTGGCTGGGTCCGACTGAAGGTTTCGCGGGGTTTAGAGAGAGGGAGGGAGGGAGGAGGAGAAATATCCTCTCGGGGTTTTTTTTTGTGGATGGATTCGGTAAAATTTTTAGCAGAAGGGATAAGGGATTTTTGGGTTTTTATTTATTTATTTTCTAGTTTAGCCCCTTTGTATCTTTGATGTTTGAAATTTGACTCTCAAATTATTTTATTTTATTTTATTTTATTTTTTTGCTGTTGCTTAGATCTTTAACATTTTGAAATTAGGCCTTCAAATCATTTTACTTGTTATCTGGATCATCAGTAAGTTATTTAGAATCGGCATTTCAGTTTTCGCTTATATTACCGTCACTTGTTTTCGTGATATTTACATACCCAAATTGTTTAAAATTGATAAATTATTACATTTTATTGTGCAAAAATAAAAATTTACTCAATACTCTTGTATGATATTTTTAGAACCAACAGCGTGTGAGCATCATAATGGAATATTCAGGTGAAAAGTTTTACTTTTACTTAATAGAGGGTATTAATGTGTCAGTTTTAAACTTTGGGATGTATAAATATCACCATAAACAAGTGGGAGTGTATAAATGTGCAGTGAGTGAAACCATAATGTATTTAAGTGCTATTTAGCCCCTAGTTTCTTAAATCATTGAAATTGCTATTAGGGGGTGTTTGGTTCAATTTCTACAAATTATAGGAAATGTTTTCCACCCAAAATATGATTTATTTGTATTTCTTTAAAAAATTATAGGAAAAGTTTTGAAAATTCAAAAAGTATTAATTTTCTTGTTTTTTGTACTTTGCTTGTTTGGTTTAAAACAAAAAATGATCCATAACTTTATAGAAAATAACAAGATTTACTTTTCTTTTGTTCGATTACATATGCCAAATTTATAGAAAAGTGTCAACTACCATATTTATCACTTTAATGGCTAGTTTAACGGTTAGTTTCACATTATTAAATCTTATAAAATAATTCCATCCTCAAGTATGCATATATACAAAAATTTCACATTATTAAATCTTATAAAAAAACCAACGATAGAGCTAAACAAGCTCGAATCAACATAGTAACTGGAAAAACAAACTCGAAGCTCAACAACAAGCACAATTATCGGCAAAAAAACCCAACAATAGAGAGCTAAACAAGCTCGAATCAGCATAGTAACTGAAAAAACAACCCCAAAGCTCGACAACAAGCACAAATATCGACCAAACAACCAAACAATAGAGAGGTGAACAAGCTCGAATCAGCATAGTAACTAGAAAAACATCCCCAATTTGTCGTCGATTAGAACTCTACTGCATCAAAAAGTACAAATCCAACGGCATTCGTCATTATAGTTTCAATCCCAACAATTTCTCTTGCCAGCGACCAAAATAGATAGTAGACAAGCACATTACGGAGATCATCAACCTCTCATAACTCACTTCTATTCTTTCATTTTAGCTATTTCAGCCACATCCAAGAAGATAACAAAAGATTGTCATAGAGCAAAAGAATCTAATAACAGCTCCTGACATTCAAACATAAGCGCATTCTCAAACCTCTGCAACACAAAACGCTCCTCGGGGGTGAGGAGACTTTGTGACGCTGCACCTGTCATTGGAGAAAGGCATCCGTCCTGTCCTCCTTGCACGATGAAAATAGTCGACTGCTGTCCTCGGGAGATCAAAATTATATACATGTGTTGTCTCTGGCAAGTCGAAACCTTTGCTTGCCAAGTCTGTCGCCACTAAAAGGCAGCCTCCTTTGTCTCACGTCCTGCACTCACAAGTATAAAACTAAGTAAACAAGAATTCATACTATATGGCAACATTAGATGAGCTTATTGACTAAGTTGATTCTCCTAAGAATAGTTCAATGATGTCCACATAAAAAAAAGAAAAAACAATGACAAACAGAAAAGGAAGGAAATTATATTCATTCATAATTTGATACCAATTACTACAGCGTAGCAAGCTGTTTACAAATTGGGAAGTCTCCAACAATATAGATAGAGAATAAATGCAGCCTAACTTGGACTGTATTATTACAGTAAATTGGTTCCTAAAACAGAAATTTACCGATAGTGATGTTGCTCGTTCATTAAAATTCATGTTTTCCTCAAGCAGGAGGACCTCCAGGCCGCCATTATAGGTGTCTCTCAGGTATTTAATGACAATGGTTGTTGAAGGAGGCTTCCCAGCCTTTTTAGACTTCTCTGACTACCATAATTAGTAAATAAAATGTTAGGTACATGGCAATATCAAACGGAACAGGTAACAAAGAGAGCTAAGGGACAAAACCTGTTCGCCAACAAAAATTATCCCTGATTTTGGTGCATCTCTTTGAAGCAAGGACAGCAAGTATGCAATCTTTCTTTCTTATTGCAAACCTGTAAAATGTAGAAAGTAAAGATGCTGTATCACTAAAACTTCAATGTGAACGGAAAGATGTCTGATTTCTCCTTAAACAAAGAGCATATGTAATATGAAAAGTAAAACAAGAGAGAGGCATGAGAAATTATTGAAGATAAGGATTATGACATTCAAAACAAGAAACATTATAAATTCTGAAATGTCTCACCACAAAATTGTGACTCAAGCGCGAAGGCATTGGCTCAATGGGATTCACATGAATGTGGACCACATCATTCTGTGTACATTAAAAGAAAGAGCATATTAATTAGGCTGGCGATAACCCACTACAGGTAAAAGCAAAAATGAAACCCCTTTACTGGTATCAAACTCTATACAGAAACATAAAATTACCACAAACATCTGAATACCTTGGCCCATTTCTGTTGCACGCAGTCGTAAAGAAATTGGTTGTGTTGGGGAATAGATGCGCTAGCAAAAATGGCCTGACGTGTATGGATAATCAGCATAGTAACTGGAAAAAACAGCCCAACAGCTCGACAACGAGCACAAATATCGACCAAAAAACCCAACAATAGAGAGCTAAACAAACTCAAATGAGCATAGTAACTAGAAAAACAACCCCAAAGCTCGACAACGAGCACAAATATCAACCAAAAAAGCCAACAATAGAGAGCTAAACAAGCTCGAATCAGCATAGTAACTAGAAAAACAGCCCCAACAGCTCGACAACGAGCACAAATATCGACCAAAAAACCCAACAATAGAGAGCTAAACAAGCTCGAATCAGCATAGTAACTGAAAAAACAGCCCCAAAGCTCGACAACGTGCACAAATATCGACCAAAAAACCCAACAATAGAGAGCTAAACAAGCTCTAATCACAACAGTAATTGGAAAAACAGCCCCAAAGCTCGACAACGTGCACAAATATCGACCAAAAAACCCAAAAATAGAGGACTAAACAAGCTCGAATCAGCATAGTAACTGGAAAAACAGCCCCGAAGCTCCACAACGAGCACAAATATCGACTAAAAAACCCAACAGTAGAGAGCTAAACAAAAACAACTAGCAACATGAAATGCAACATCATCAACTTTGCAATACACAAAATATAAGTTAGTGTAGGTATTTAGGAAATAGCAACATGAATTGCAACATCTAAAGTTTGCAATTAACAAAATATAAGTTTGTATGGGAATAGTAACAAAACATGTGAAGTAGCAAAATAGAGTGTTGTGTGCACAGAACAACAAAACACTATGATGTGTCCCATCCTTGAGCCGCCGCAAGACCTGCAAGAAACCTCTTCTGAGCCTCCTTCGTTTTTATAAAAAACCTCCTAGCCTCATGCTCACTTTCATACAAATGATCTAAAACCTTATCAAGGAATTCATCACTATAGGAGTCACTATGGTTCTTCAAAGCTGCAGCTAATTGTTCAGTCCAATGTATAATGTGTTGATTTCTAATTGACTCCGACATTGACTCAACAAAGCTGCGTATCAACTCATCATCATTGGAGTGTCGAGGTCTCTTGCTTGGAGCATAACAAACAGATTTGCGCCTAGCACGAATTCTCAATAAACAAACTATTATTGTAACCACGGAAGATATAGTCGTATTAGCACACATCCTCTTTATTTGTTCTTCATCTACACCATCCATCTACATTCGTTACAAAGCAAAAATAGTTTAAGATGTTTATGCAACAATAAACGACAAAAAAATTATCAACTAACTTATCAACATAACTCTTTTATACACCCAATATTTTGAACTATAATCATTATTGACATGATACAAACGTCCTACATTGACAGATTGAAAATTAGCAAATTTTTTTGTTTGCTCGTGTGTTTAACCAAATCTGATTGAAGTGAGTGTGCTCAACCAAGTCTGGTTCCATTGTGCGTGCGCTCAGTTAAATATGATTCCAGTGCGTGTGTATTAGTTCATAAATAAGTCATGTCAAAGGAAAATATTTTCATCTATTTATAAATATAAGAACAGACCTTTAATCTTTTCATGTCTGATAACATATTGATAACTCAATTAGATAGGATGGCATTTTGAAGAAGCATATTTGCTACTCATATAAGAAGAAATAGTGGCATTTTGAATAACTGAATCAGAGTTCAGGATATATAACGCAAGCATGTCTATCAATATATGATCATGATTCTGAGTAATTGGGTATTAGGAAAAACCCACGAGTCATGACTAATGAATTTAATAAATAGAAAAATAAAGAAAATGACAGAGGTAGAACTACTTAATTCCCGAACAAGACGACTAATGGTACGAAAATGCAGAGGTAAAAAAACTCCTTAACACTTGTCTAAAGACTATGACAAAGTATACTTGTTGAATGTCAATTGTAACAATTAAAAAAAAAAGAGATTTGAAACTAAAGAAATGGAAGTACAGGAAAGCGGTAAGTTTTTCTAAAGCATTATGACTAGAAAGAAATCGGCTTGAAGGTCACAGGAAAATAGCATATGATAAGGTCGATTGTTCTTGAAGAACAAATGAAATCATATGAATTTTCACAAGTTATCTAATAATACGAGACTAGAAAAATAGAGAGGAACTAACGTTTTTGCGGTTAGAATATCTCTACAGAGGTAATAAACCAGATCCACAAATTGATCACTACGAGCATACAAAGATCAGAAACCCTAGCACGATTTTTCGTTAATAGATAACTACAAATAGATCAACACAAAAAAATGAGCAAAAAGAACAGATTATTACCGTGAAAGCCTTGAGATCAGAAACCCTAGCACGAGATTTGGGAACGAGAGAACCCTAGATCTGGGGGGCGATGGACGAGGGGGAACGAGATGTAAGCGGTAATTGGCGCGAAGGACCAAAAGCTCTCAGGATTTGGGGCGGGAACGAGAGCGATGAAATTTTAGATTTTCCGCCCTCTAATCAGCTCGAGAAATGTCCCACAGGGAAAATGGGTACGGTAAAGGCATATTTCTGACTGATTTCCTGTTAATTCGAGGGGAAATTGATTTCCTTAAAATTAGGTATTTTTTAATATTTTACAGAAAATATTTTCATAAATTTTTTTTGAACCAAACACCGACTATAAAAATCAACCGAAAATTTTTTACTTATAAAATTAAAATTAATTTCTATAAAATTAGGTATTTTTGGTACTTTACATAAAATATTTCTGTAATTTTTTTTAAACTAAACATAATTTATAAAAAAACTTTAATTATAAAATTGTCATTATGAGAAATTTTGAAAAAAAATTTCTATAAAAGTGTGAAACCAAAGAGACCCCCTTAGCTCATAATAGAACATTCAAGTGAAGTTATTCATATTTGTAACATTCAAGTGAAGTTATGTTCCCCCAACTATTATAAGTTGTTTAATTCCTCCAAAATACAAAATTATAAAAAATTTGTGGTTAGATCCACCGAAGTGGAGAGCCTTAACCATGTGTAAGAGAAAGCCCGAAAGCTTATCCCGTCCCTGTCAGGGGAGATGCCAACCGTCTCTCCTTTCAACGAACACAGCCTACCTACATAATCCAAGTATACAAAAAGGGTTAATAAAAATGAAACCTAGGCGATGTGGGACTAAAAATGCAAGACAGGCGATCATTACCTAGCAAAAAGAAACAAAATAAAAGGGGAGAACCCGTCAATCTATCGTCTTCAAGCTCCCTTTTCCCGCCAAATGGCGGCATCCAGTCCAAAACTCACTCGCTTACTAGGCGCCGCGTTGAGACAAGTGGCTTCGAAGAGAGGGAGCAATGGCTGCACGTGCCATCCGCGAGCGGATCCCTCTGGTCGATCTCGTCCTCGAAGTCCGAGACGCAAGGGTAACTTCGACCATAAAAAATTACCTTCTCAAATGGTCAAATTTTGCTTTCTATTTCATTGCCTGCAACCTGTTTGATGAAATCTCTGACTGAATGCTGAACCCTTTTTAAGAATCGCTCTCATTTCATTATGATAAATTTTTGTGCGCGACTCGTGTTCTTTTATGGGCTGTGTTTAGTTTTTAAATTTGAGCACAATCTGTTAAACAAAATCGTTTATTAATGCATTATGCGGCAAAAGCAATGTATTTCATTTTCAAATTGGTAGTATATCTACGTTTTGTAATTTTTTTTTTTTTTTTGGCGAGGTGGGCAGATACCCCTGACATCGGCTTTTGGGCCTCTGAAACACGAGTCCTGTTTTTTGGACAAGCATATAATTGTTCTGAACAAAGTTGATCTTGCAGATCGCTTGCTGACAGAAGTACGTTCTCAAATATTTGATTATGTTTAAAAGGTTCTTTGTTGATTAAGTGGGTTAATGTTCCTGATTGCATTAATTAATGCACTAGTAGCTTTTTTTTTTGGTGTTCTTTTTTGATGGCGTATTATGCGCAGAAGTGGATGAAGCATTTCAGAGAGAAGAACTATATTTGTTATGGAGTCAATTCACACAACAAAGACAGCATTAAAGGGGTAATTTTCTCATTTCTGAATTATCTAACATAAGGAAGTTCTAAGATCAAATGTTTGTTGTACACTGAAGTTTCATATAGTTCAGTTGAGCAGTTTATTTTTACACTGCCCCGTGAATAAATATTGTTACTGATGAGTTTTTAAGAAGAGAATTAACTTTTTAATCATGTTTGCTTGTTTCAACCAGTTATTGACCCTCGTAAGAAATAGGATCAGAGAACTGAAAGGTTGTGAGGCTAACTATACCACGACTGTGTTGTTGACTGGGATTACGAATGTCGGCAAATCAGCCATTGCAAATTCTATGCATCAAGTTGGTAGGATAACTGCAACAGGTACCCTCTTGAGCTCTTCTGAAATTTGAGTATTAAGCTAATGACACCTTTAAGGGCTGCTGTATTAACTGTTTGAAAGAGCTTCTCATTTGTTTCTTATCGTAAGAGAAGGGAAAATTGAAGCATGCGATAGTAAGCCCGCATCCTGGGGAGACTAAAGATATTATTAGCTACAAGGTTTGTGGTTTCTCTTTACCACACTGTTGTTCATTCTTCATTGTGAACATGTATCATGTCCACAAACATTTTTATGCTCTAGGAGTAGTAGTTTGATTTGCAGAGAAAATTGAGCATTCTAAATTTCTCATGGACATACTCACTTAGACTGCTTATTGTTTCGTCAATATTCCTAGTTTGCCATTGTGTCAGAAAAATAAAGGTTGAAAGGAATAAGAATGAGAATTACAATATCGTATTGCTTCATTTGACAGTTGAAAGAAAGGTTATGCATGAGGAAATTTAACAAAGCTCGGGTATTTTTCATATGGAATCTGAAAGATAGTTTAGGAAAGAAGAAGAATTATATGTAAAAAATTTAATCTTTTTATAGAAAGTTGACAAAAATTAAACATATTAGAAATATTTTTCTCAATCATTATGCAATCCATCTTTCTTTATTATCTTTCTATTTGCCAAATAAAGAATTTATAGCTCCAGAGCCTACTTGCCCCCTAAACTATTAGATTTGTCCTTTCTTAACCCCCTAACCGTGTTTAATCCCCACTTGCCCCTTAAACTATTAAATTCGTCTCCTGTTTATCCCCTAAATTATATTTGATCCCACTTTGCTTCCTACACTATTAAATTCTTTTCCTGCTTATCCCCGAAATTATATTTGAGCCCAATTTGCTTCCTACACTATCACTTTCAGTGCCTAGTTAGCACTTCCATTTATTATTTTGTTGGTGCTTTAACTTGATTTATGAGATGAAAATGATAGTTCAAGGGATAAAATGAGACTGGAAATTATTCAAGGGATAAGCTAGCAGAGACGTAATTAATAGTTTAGCAGTCAAGATGTGACCAAAAAATGTTCAGGGTGTAAGCACAGACAAATTTGATAGTTTAGGGGGCAAGTAGGGAACGGAGCCCGAATTTATTATGGAATATTAAGTTTCTCTACGTTCCATGGGATTTAGAAAGAGGGAAGAATCTAAATTCTTTTTCCTTTATCTTCAACAATTACCAAAAATCAGGTTTTGGAATATGTTACATCATTTATTTATTTTTGTAAAAATTCATCTTCTAGATCAACTATAGACGAAATAGAAGTTCTTATGGAAAAAACTAGAGGAAATAAGTAATACATGACTTGACTGTATAATGGAAATCTCCTTATCTGGTGACAAATTTTCAGTCTTCTTCTTACTCAGATTGCCAGCCATCCCAACATCTATATATTGGACAGCCCGGGGGTTCTTTACCCTGAAGTTACCGATGATGATTATGGTTCCAAACTGGCCTTGACAGGTATCAAGCTAGCTAAGCATTCTCGTTTATAACATTTGATCAAATTTGTAGATAACAATTTCTTTTCTGTGATCCAGGAGCTATTAAGGATTCATTGCTAGACGAAATTAAGGTTGCCCAATATTTCCTACTCATTCTTAGCTCATCAGAGCAATATAAATTCTGGGAGAAGTTGACTGCTTTAGTACATGGAAGTACATTAGCTGAGAGTAAAGAGAAGTGCTTAGCTGATTCTGATACTGACTACAGAAGAAGAACTCAATATTCTTCAGATCATACTAAGGTGAGTTGTTAGTGAAGACACTGGTGTATAATCTATTAGGAAGGTTAAACGCAAGTAGATCGTATTTCTGATTTGTAGACAACTTCATGTCTCTTCGAATGCTTATGGCACAATCAAGTTGATCATCGTTTTAATCATAGCATTAACCTAAAGCTTTGGGGTTGGCTGCATGAATCTAATTCTTCTGTTCAGTTTTGTTAAGGGTTATCTTCTCCATAAAAATTATTATATCATGTTTATATGCATTAAATACAAGTTCTCTAAGGCCTATCTCTAGTCCGCTTGCCTTTATTAACTATAATCTTATCATTACTGGTGCATTTAGTGGTCTCTATTGCACATAATCGAACCATCTCTCTATTGTCTCTCATTTTTATCCTCAACAGGAGCAACCTACGATCTCGTAAGAATTGACTCATTTCTTATTCTGCCACTTACTGTATATCTACAAGTCCATCTGCACTAAATAAGAGTATTTTGTTCCAATATGATCTTCAATGCGGCAGCACATGGAAATTTACCCATGCTTAAATGTCTGCAGGATTTCATTGTGAGAGATGTTCGTCGAACACTCTTCAAAACCATCTCATCATTCGAGGGCAATATGCAAAATGAAACTGATGTTGAGAGGCTGATTGAATCTCAGTTTACAGCATTGCATGAGGCTTTTAGATTGCGACTGTCTGGTGAGGATTCATGTAGTGTTGTAGCTTCAAAATTGCTCAACTTGTATAGAACTGGAAGGCTCGGGCGATATACCTTGGATCTTCCAAGAAATGTTCAGTGACTACCTAAAATGTCTAAGAGACTCAGTATGATAATTTTGAATTTACAGAAGATCATTGCTCACGAGGATAATCAGGCTTTATGTTAGATAGCCATTATAGGGTTAATTATGGATAAACCCCCATGCTATAGCCTAATTATGGATAGACCCCTGTAGTCCTATTGGTGTGCATAGACCCGCTGAGTGATTTTTTTCGACTCTTTTTGAGAACTACATAGGGTCTATTCGCAATTTGAGCGATAGTAGTTTCCCGAGCAAGACAAGGAGGGCTTTGGAAGGGGGCTATCTGCAATTAACCAAAAAAATTAAATTGACCTATGATAAAAGGCACTTGTTATTGCCCTTTATTGCGTATCATGCCATAGTCTGTGCTATATTCTTCTGATGAGTAGCAATTGAGATACTTATGTAATCATTTTTAAGTAGAAGTCTTAATCATGTACTAGCAACTTGCTCAAACAATTTCTCAGCCTTTTCGAAAGAAAATTTAATTTATTAATGCGGATCTAAAAATTTTTAAAGAGTGTTTTTGGGCAACTAATAACTATTTACGAGCAGGGGTGGAAATGAACCAAATAATTAACAAATAGTTCGATAATTGTTCGAATAAGTATTCGGTCATATTCGATTCGTAGTTCATTTACCATTAAACAAATATTTTTTAGTATTCGAGTTTACTAACGAATAGAATTTAACCAGATGTATATTCAATTCGTTTATTTTTTAGTATTCGAGTTTACTAACGAATAGAATTTAACCAGATGTATATTCAATTCGTTTGTCTATTAAATATTCGTTTAAAATTGTTACTAACGAATAGAATTTAACCAGATGTATATTCAATTCGTTTGTCTATTAAATATTCGTTTAAAATTGATCATAATTTATTACTTGTATTATTGCACATATGATGTCATATTTTTAACTCACATACCATTTCTACTTAAGTTTTATATACTGATTTTAAGATTTAAATAATCTTAAATCTGTTTTCTAATTAAAATTTTAATTTAAATATATATACATCATATATTATAAAGGAATACATTTTATTTATGAATTCTAATACTATTTGAAAATCAAATTCTTTAGCGGTATAAATATACTTTGATATTCGATAAGTATTCGTGAATATTCATGAATATTTATCAAATACCAAGTATTCGAGTTCGAATTCGAAAAACTAGATATATGAATATTAGAGTTCACATTCGAATTCGATAATTTTAAACAAATACAAATACGAACACATTAGTATTCGATTCAATTCGATCGTTTACCACCCCTATTTACGAGTGTTTCCTGTAAAGTATCTAAAAACTCATCATAGTAAATATAGATATTGGATAAATGGGAGATCCTCAGATTGGAGTACAATCTTTATTTAGAATAGAAAAATACAAGTAAAAAAATCTCACTCATTTATTAGTGACATAAAAAACTAGGAGTGGTGGGGGTGGGGGGATCATGTTGACGGTGAGCTACATAAGAGGCTACAAGTTTCTCTATCAACTTTAGATCATGACAAACATATTCTAAATTTTTACAATTAGCAAAAATCTATACAAAATCTTTTAGAAATTAGCGTAAACAAAACGTTGAATCAATATAATAATTAATATCCACCACGGGCAGCACAGATGGTTTGCTGACGTAGTGATAACACTGTCAATACCCTTATATCTCTAGTTCGTTCCCGTATGAAGAACTAAGAAATTTAGAGAAAAAGAAGAAGATTTAAAGGGGGCTCCGGCGAGCTGTTTTACTTTTTTATTGTGTTCAAAGAGTAAATTTCCACTCTTTATACAGAGCCACTCTTTATACAGAGGCATTTCCCCCCGCCTCCCGAACTGTCCAAATATCCTCTCCATATTTTTCTAACCCATCACCCCTACTATCTCAATCCCACGAAAATCTCAGTTCTTGAGACTAAGTTAGGTGATTTGGCCAAATATGGACAGAGTCAAGTTAACATCTCCCACTTGACCAAATTAAGCCAAATGACATGCCTCCCACTATCCGTGAGATCAGATGTTTCTTCTTATCATTACTCCCACTATTCGTAGAGAGCAACTCTTATTTCATTATTCATGAAATTTTACTTGGACTTATTTATTCCTAAGTCTCATCAAACTTACATGTTTGATAAAAGATTTCGTTGGTATTCCTTTTGTCAAAGGATCAACAATCATATCTGTAGTAGGGATATAAGTCACTTTAACTTCTTCATTTTCTATAATATCTCGAATATAGTGATATTGGATCTCAATATGTTTTCCTTTAGAGCTATTCGCACCGCTATTGATCAAACTAATCACTGCTTGATTATCACAATAAATATTAATAGGAACAAATTGAGATCTAGATCAATCAAAAATCGTCTTTTCTAGACAGCATGTGCAATTATCATACTACAAGCTACATATTCAGCTTCTTGTGTATATCTAGCAACACACCATTGTTTCTTGCTACTCCAAGAAACAGCTCATCCTCCAAAGATGAGCAAGTATCCCGAAGTGGACTTTTTATCATCGTTATCACCTTCGAAATCAGCATCGGAGTAACCGAGGAGATCAAGCGAGCCGGCTTGAAAAACTAATATATGAGTTAATATATCTCTGATATACTTCATAATCCTTTTAACAGCTTCCCAATGTGTTGATCCTGGATTACTTTGATATTGACTGACTAGACATATAGCATAAGCTATATCAGGTCTGGTGCACAACATTGCATACATCAAGCTTCCAATTGCTTGAGCATAAGGAACATCTAATGGCTTTTTCCCCTCTCTAGGACTTTGCTCTTTACATAATCTCTTTCCCATGACCAACGGAGTTGGCGTCAGATTAGAATTCTCCATTCCAAACCTTTAAAGAACTGATCTTAAATATTTTTCTTAGTTTAAACTTAGCATTCTAGATTTTCTATCTCGAATTATTTAAATTCCAAGAATATATGATGCATCTCCCATGTTTTCCATCTCAAACTTTTCGATGAGATCTGCCTTGATTTTATTCAACATTTTCATGTCATTTCCAGCGAGCAATATATCTTCCACATATAAGGATAATATAGTAAATTTGCTTCCACTTTTTAAGACATATACACAATTATCTAATTTATTTTGAATAAAACAAAGTTTAGTATTGCATCATGAAATTTGAGATATCATTGTCTAGTAGACTGTTTTAAACCGTATAAAGATTTTATTAATTTGTAAACTTTATGTTCTTGTCCTTTTACCTGACAATCTTCAGGTTGTTACATATATATCGCTTCCTTCAACTCTCCGTTAAGGAATGCAGTTTTAACATCCATTTGAAATAACTCCAAATCAAGATATGCAACAATAGCCAAAACAATTCTAATGGATGCAAATTTAGCTATAAGAGAATACATCTCCTGAAAATTTATTCCTGACTTCTGGTTATAACTCTTGGTAACTAACTGTGCTTTGAATTTATCAATAGATTCATCAACACAATATTTCTTTTTAAGCACCCATTTGTATCCTATGACTTTTCTATTTTTCGGTATATCACATAACTTACATACCTTATTCTTTTCTATAGAATCAAGTTCTACTCTCATGGATTCTAGCCATAAAGCTAATTCATGTGATTTCATCGCATCAGAGAAGATTAATGGATCTTGTTCTTCTATATTTGTATCTACTAAGAAACAGAATGACTCACATGAATATAAATAGTAATCATCCATCCACGAAGGTTGTGTCCTTAGCCTTTTGTTGCTTACAAATCGGTTGATGAGGTACATTATTTTTCATAGGTATTTTATCATTTTTAAGGTTAAGTTCATTCACAATATCAGAGTCATTAGTGGGAACAACACAGTAATAATCATCATCTATTACAGTTAGAGGTTTTGTTTCCTCTTGAACTTGTTTCTCTTCCTCTAGGTTCTCTAGAAACGTAGCATCTCTGCTTTCAATAACCCATTTTTCTTTATTGAAGAACTTATAACCTTTTGACTTTGAATACCCTATGAATCTATACTCTACTGTTTTAAAATCTAATTTATCTCTAAGTTGGTATGTGATAAACACGTAAAATATGCATTATCTTAGTGTGTTTCAAGCATGATTTACGAGCGTTTGATGCATATTTCGTGTTTAGATCAAGGATACTGCTGTTGTTTGTGTTCTTATATGTAGGTATTGGCTCAAGATTGAAAGATTTGATGATCGTTGGAAGTTATACAAGAGTTTGAAGCAACAACAAGATCTCGAAGGCATGTTTCGTGAAGAAAATGTTGGAAGTTATACAAGAGTTTGAAGCAACAACAAGATCTCGAAGGCATGTTTCGTGAAGAAAATGGATGCACAAGTATGAAGAACTAGAATTTCGACCATGATGCAGTTTGAATCAAGAAAAACTCAAAGATGAAAGTTGTAGATCTCTTCAACAGGATTCCAATGCAACTTGAATCACCTCATTCCGAGGTCGGACGCAAAAGTTATAGCCAAAATACCGAAAACTGAAGAAACAAGCACAAAATCAGCAAAACAGCCCCTACCACACCCTGGTGTGGTGCAGACCACACCTGTGGTGCGAGAATTAGTTATTTTCTAGATTTTTAGGGACATATAAATAGATGTTTTGACTTAGGGTTTTGGATATCTTTTGTTATGTTCTTTTAGCCATCAACTAGCAACTATTTTAGGGTTCTAGTATTGAAGGAATATATTAATCTCTTGTAGAAGATTGGATTGCAAGTTCTTATTTTGAAAATTTCAATTGAAAGACGGGTTAATTCTTTCCTCTCTTTGATTTATTTCTTCTTATGATTGATTTGCATAATTATTTGATGTCTTCTCTTATTCCAATCATGTGTGAGTAGATTTCTTGTCTAGGATTGGGAAAGAACCCAACTTTTTGGTGATTGATGATGAATTGATATAGGTTCTTGGTGAAAGTTTAAATCTTTGAACTTGATTTCTAGTGTTTTAATTTTGTTGATTCGCTTGATCACCGTATTAGCAATCATAGGTAATTAATTGAAGGACTGAAAGGTGAAGATTAATACCGGATCTCTAAAAATTAAGCAGGGAGCTCGAACCACGAAAGTAGGCTAGATTCCTTGAGGATTTGATTTGGATTAGCATAAAGCTTAATGGGTTTAATTTAATTTTGATTCCACGAAAGTAGGTTAATTGAGATTGATTAAGCACGATCTTTAGACCTTGAAAGAGGTTTTAGATTAATTTAGGCTAATTCACCCTTTCTAGATTAAACCAACACCAAGAATTGAAATAATTCATCATTGAACACCTAAGTTGTGGACACCAAGAATTGAAATAATCCATCATTGAACACCTAAGTTGTGGTGATAACCCAATCCTAGTCCTTCATTATATTAAATTCCATCCGATTAGTTGTTTATTTTATTTCTTTTATTAAATCTCTTCTAATTTACTCATTGATTTAGCTAGTCGAATAACGTGAGATTTGGTAATTAACCCTAGTCCTTGTGGGATCGACCTTGATAGCTACAACGAATCCGTGCGCTTGCGGATTTTGCCCTATCAAGTTTTTGGCGCCGTTGCCGGGGACTACGGTGTTAATATTGAGTGCTTACGTTATTAAGCTAGACTAGATTTTTTTTATTTCTCTTTGCTTCTCACTTTCTTTTATGCAAGGGCATCAAACAGAATTACACGACGAAAACAATCCTGAACTATCGGTGACTCTTGCAAACATAAGAAGGTCTATAAGGGAGCAAAGGAACACAGAACAAGCTACGATGGGAGATCAAAATCAGCTTCTTAAGGATTTCGCAGCCCCAAATTCTCAAGGCACACAGTCAAGCATTACAAGGCCCAATGTTGAAGCTAATAACTTTGAGCTGAAACCATCACTGCTCTCAATGGACTTACAACACACGGATGACTGTTGATGCTGCTGCAGGAGGAGCTTTGATGAACAAAACAATAGACGAGGCATACACTCTCATTGAAGACATGGCTCAGAATCACTATCAATGGGCGAACGAGCGTGCTCCTCAGACATCAAAAGGAGGCAAGTATGAAATAGATGCTTTAGACCATATATCCTCTAAAGTTGATGCTTTATTTAAGAAAGTTGAAGGTTTGAGTATTAATTCTGTGGCGTCTACTTCAATTTCATGTGAGATATGTGGCTATGTGGGTCATTCTGCACTTCAATGTCAATTAGGAAACCCCCCATCCATTGATACTTCTGGTAATGAGCAAGTTAACTATGTTAATAACTTTAATCAGAAGGGAGACCCATTCTCCAATACTTATAATCCGGGGTGGAGGAATCATCCTAATTTTTCTTATAGAAATCCACCTGGAAATCCCATGCCTGTATCTGATTTTGGTCCACCTGGTTTTCGTGCTCCTCAATCCAATTTCCCTTCTCAAAAGTCAAATTTGGAAAATATGATGGAGAAGTTTGTGACGACTCAATCAAAATTGAATGAAGAGTTTAAGCAGCAACAACAAACCACGAATGAGGTGGTGAAACAATTGGCCTCTAAGATGGATTCCCTAGCTACGCATAACAAGATGTTAGAGACACAAATCACCCAATTGGCACAAAATGTTAGCTCTTCCTCTAGGCTTTCAGGCATGCTACCTGGACAACCCGAGACAAATCCCAGGAGTCATGTGAATGCTATAACTCTTAGAAGTGGAAAACAATATGAGGGACCCAAGATGAAGGAAAATGATGGGGTGGATGGTCATCATGAAGAAAAAAATGAAAATGTGATAGATGTGGATAATGAGACCCAAACGCAAGAAGAAGAAAAAGTTGAAAAATATGTGGCCCCCGCTCCTTACAAGCCTCCTCTACCATTTCCCCAAAGGTTAGCTAAGGCTAAGTTAGAAAAGCAGTTCGGAAAATTTTTGGAGATTTTGAAAAAGTTGCACATCAATATCCCGTTCACTGAAGCTATTTCTCAAATGCCTTCTTATGCTAAGTTCTTGAAAGAGATCCTATCTAACAAAAGGAAGTTGGAAGAATACGAGACTGTGGCCCTTACTGAAGAGTGTAGTGCTATCATCCAAAACAAGTTGCCTCCTAATCTTAAGGATCCAGGTTCATTTTCTATTCCTTGTGTTATTGGTAATGTCTCTATTAACCGTGCTTTGTGTGATTTAGGTGCAAGCGTAAGTTTGATGCCGATGTCTATTTGTAAGAAGCTTGGCATAGGTGATTTGAAGCTAACCACGATATCACTCCAATTGGCGGATTGATCGGTAAAATATCCGGTAGGTATACTTGAAGATGTACCTATCCAGGTCGGTAAGTTCTTTATCCCGGTTGATTTCGTTATTTTAGAAATGGAAGAAGATTCTAACATCCCAATTATATTAGGAAGACCCTTCCTTGCTACTGCAGGTGCTATAATCGATGTTAAAAATGGAAGTCTCTCCCTAAATATTGGAGGGGAGAAGGTAGAATTTGATTTGAGCAATGCTATGAAACCCCCTCTAACTGATAAAGTTTGTTACAGGGTCGACGTGATTGACAAGTCTACACATGAGCAACTTGCAAACCATTACTCAGCTGATCCACTTGAAAAGTGTTTGGTAAGTGACGATTCAATAAATGATGAAGACCCGGAGGTAGCCGTGTATGCTCAATCTTTAGAATCAACATCAACTGCTCCATTTCGAAATGCAAAGTTTGAAAGTCTAAAGTTAAAGTCAAAAGGTTCTACTTGTGAAGAGGATAAAACACTCATAGGCATGACACCGTTCAAGTTGGTGTATGGTAAATCATGTCATCTCCCAGTTGAGTTAGAGCACAAGGCGTATTGGGCTATCAAACTCCTCAATTTTGATATGAAGACCGCAGGTGAGAAAAGAAAGCTTCAACTTCATGAGCTAGATGAGCTGCGTTTGGATTCGTATGAGAATGCTCGTATCTATAAAGAAAGGACTAAACGATGGCACGACAAGAATATTCTTCGAAGAGAGTTTAATCAAGGAGATATGGTGCTACTTTTCAACTCTCGTTTGAAGCTTTTTCCGGGCAAGCTCAAATCTCGATGGTCCGGACCTTTTCAAGTTTGTAAGGTTATTCCTAGTGGAGTTGTTGAAGTTTGGAGTGAAACAACGGGATCTTTCAAGGTGAATGGGCAACGATTGAAACACTACATTGTTGGGGAACAAAACGAGAAAGTGGTCACTTATACCCTTTCCAATTCCCCTTTGTCGGAGAATTGAGGCAAAAGGGGTCGAGCTCATGACCATAAACGAGCGCTTCTTGGGAGGCAACCCAAGTTTTCATTCATTTTTTATCTTATTTTATTTCATTTTAATTTCATTTTTTTTAATTTTTATTTTTTTAGGCAATTGGATCGGCACAAATTTAACTTATAATATTTTTGATCATGCAGTTGTGAAGAAATGAAGACATTGAAAAAAAAACTGCAGAAAAAGGAGTTAAAGATGGAGTGGCAGAGCCTACCACACCTAAGGGTGGTGTACACCACACCCACGGTCCACAGAAAAAAAATACAGACTCTACCACACCCATCTCCCACACCCGTGGGTCGCTGGTAAAAAAAAAACGAAAAAAACCCCCTCTTCAAACCAGCGACATAACCACATCCCCTTTGCCCTAACCCAAATCGACAACCCATCAGCGACCACCCTTCACCACCATCGCCGGTCATCCTCCTTCTCTCCGATCATCAAACCAACCGCTGCCATCTTCACCATCACAGACCATCCGTCGCCTCCTTCTGACTAGTGAGTTGGTATGTCCTCTGCACCCTTGCACTAATTTCTATCTTTTTACATTGAGGACAATGTCGATCTTAAGCTTGGGGTGTGGGTTGTTCATGCATTGATTGACTGTCTATAATTGCCTATTTTTCTTTTATTTTAGTTTTTCTTTTGCTTTGTTTCTTAATTCAAAAAAAAAACAAAAAAAAAACAAAAACAATTAGGGAAATGATCTCCTGATGATGACATGAATGCTTAACCTTTATCGATCATTGAACTAGATAGATGCTTATTAATTAGGACTTGACAACTTCTTATACCATCTTTCAACTGATTCTCAAAGGCTTTTGATTACAAGTTAACAATATGGGAGAACCAGACTTGAATGTTCTCATCTTATAGGATTTAGCATTTATGCGGCTAGCGTCATAACCATTACTCTATTGAGACAAGAGGGGAATTAAGTTTGGTAGACAAATAAAACCCGTGAGATTTTGAGCCTGAAATTGGATGCATTGCATATCCAATCATTATTTTTTTTGCTTGTGTGATATTCTCCAATGGTGTGGGATACTAGAACTTGCATTGAATCTCTTCAAGGCCACATATAACTTTTGTATGCATAAAAGGTGATTGAGGCACATTTTTGTTTATAGTCCACATTTGCCAAATAACCTACCATGCACTATTGTTCCCTTGTTTAGCCCCCTTGAGCCTATGAGCCTAATTTTTGTTGATTAAACCCACATATGTAACCTTCAAAATCCGATTTTATTCCTTACCCATTGCCTAAGCTAGTGGAGCACATTTTATGATACAATGGGTTATATGATTAATGTGGTGTAAGCTTGGGGGTGTGAAAGTAGGCGTTTGCTTCCTTTTCATAATTCTTTCAAAAAAAAAAAGAAATGAAATTGAAAAAAAAAAGATGAATAAAGTGTCCTCTTTATGGTGTATGTAATTGTGGGTGTCGAAAGAATTCATTATGGCATACTAAAAGGAGTAGTTGGAAGAAGTTCTTTAATAGATGATGGAGTTTGTTTGAATTTCATTGATCTTATTTTGAGATCAAATATTTTACAAGTATCGCTCCACTAGTGATAGGCTTTCAACTACAATCTCAAATATATATCCTACCTTTTGACCCTAGCCCCGTTACAACCTAATAAAGGACCTCATGATTTTGTTGCATGCATTAGTTTTCGAAGTGGTGGAGAATTGAGATGAAATGCAAGCTTATGGATTGAATACATCCATTCGGAAGAATTTTGAGTGATACAATCCCATCCTTAAATACATGAGAGGTTGAGAGTCCACTTATCCTAAAGTGAGGTCTACCAATTTAGCTACCTGAAGGTCTCAATTTTAGTACTTCGGGATTGAAGCTAGTTACATGAATTTCTTTTTCCTACTTTGACTTGAGAATTGGATAGGATGGCTATCCTTGACTTGTGACGCTTGTGATCATAAGTAAAGTTTAAAATACGGTTTTGTTGAGAATTTTGAAAATTAATTTGTTAAAGTCCCGATGAAAAGTATTTGTTTTGTGATATGTTTGATATTGGTTAAAGTATTGATGAGGGGGTGATCCCTACTCTATTTGGTTTTCACTCCTCCTAATTTTTTTTGTTTATTTGCTTGAGGACAAGCAAAAGTCTAAGCTTGGGGGAGTTGATAAACACGTAAAATATGCATTATCTTAGTGTGTTTCAAGCATGATTTACGAGCGTTTGATGCATATTTCGTGTTTAGATCGAGGATACTGCTGTTGTTTGTGTTCTTATATGTATGTATTGGCTCAAGATTGAAAGATTTGATGATCGTTGGAAGTTATACAAGAGTTTGAAGCAACAACAAGATCTCGAAGGCATGTTTCGTGAAGAAAATGGATACACGAGTATGAAGAACTAGAATTTCGACCATGATGCAGTTTGAATCAAGAAAAACTCAAAAAATGAAAGTTGTATATCTCTTCAACAGAATTCCAATGCAACTTGAATCACCTCATTCCGAGGTCGGACGCAAAAGTTATAGCCAAAATACCAAAAACTAAAGAAACAAGCACAAAATCAGCATAACTGCCCCTACCACACCCTGGTGTGGTGCAGACCACACCGGTGGCGCGGGAATTAGTTATTTTCTAGATTTTTGGAGACATATAAATAGATGTTTTGACTTAGGGTTTTGGATATCTTTTGTTATGTTCTTTTAGCCATCAACTAGCAACTATTCTAGGGTTCTAGTATTGAAGGAATACATTAATCTCTTGTAGAAGATTGGATTGCAAGTTCTTATTTTGAAGATTTCAATTGAAAGACGGGTTAATTCTTTCCTCTCTTTGATTTATTTCTTCTTATGATTGATTTGCATAATTATTTGATGTCTTCTCTTATTCCAATCATGTGTGAGTAGATTTCTTGTCTAGGATTGGGAAAGAACCCAACTTTTTGGTGATTGATGATGAATTGATATAGGTTCTTGGTGAAAGTTTAAATCTTTGAACTTGATTTCTAGTGTTTTAATTTTGTTGATTCGCTTGATCACCGTATTAGCAATCATAGGTAATTAATTGAAGGACTGAAAGGTGAAGATTAATACCGGATCTCTAGAAATTAAGCAGGGAGCTCGAACCACGAAAGTAGGCTAGATTCCTTGGGGATTTGATTTGGATTAGCATAAAGCTTAATGGGTTTAATTTAATCTTGATTCCACGAAAGTAGGTTAATTGAGATTGATTAAGCACGATCTTTAGACCTTGAAAGAGGCTTTAGATTAATTTAGGCTAATTCACCCTTTTTAGATTAAACCAACACCAAGAATTGAAATAATCCATCATTGAACACCTAAGTTGTGGTGATAACCCAATCCTAGTCCTTCATTATATTGAATTCCATCCGATTAGTTGTTTATTTTATTTCTTTTATTAAATCTCTTCTAATTTACTCATTGATTTAGCTAGTCGAATAACGTGAGATTTGGTAATTAACCCTAGTCCTTGTGGGATCGACCTTGATAGCTACAACGAATCCGTGCGCTTGCGGATTTTGCCTATCAGTATGGAATGAGAACATGAGCTATAGTTCCCTATTTTTTAAGATGACTCAGATTAGGTTTCCGCTCATTCCATAACTCATAAGGTGTAGACACAACTGACTTGGTGGGAATTTATTTAAAATGTAGTTTACAGTTAACAACGATTCTCCCCAAAAAATTTTAGAGGGACCAAAATAAGACAACATGCATCTAACTACATTTAGTAATGTTCTGTTTTTTCTTTCAACAACACCATTTTATTATGGTGTATACGACATTGTTGCATGCTTTTTAATTCCATGCTAAATATAATATCTCTCAAATTCTTTAGAGTTATATCCCCCACCTCTATTAGTTCTCAAAATTTTGATTTTCATTCCAAGTTGGTTTTCAACTTCTGTCTTATATCTCATAAAGCAATCAAAAAGCTTCCATTTATTAGATATAAGATAGACGTGTGTAAACTTAGAATAACCATCTATAAAAATAATAAAATATTCTTTATTACTATGAGTTTTGACACTCAGGGGACCACAAATATCCGAGTGTATCAACCATAAAAGTTCATTGGCTCTTTGTCCGCCAATAAAAGATTTTCTAGTCATTTTACTAGTTAAACAATGTTTTAATGGTGATAATTGAACATTAGATAGTGCAGAAAATAAGTTCATTCTGATAATTTCTTTTATTTTTGAATTACTAGCATGTCCTAGTCTAGAATGCCACAATTCAGACTAAAAAATATAACGGGATAAGTAGTTCAAATTTAAAATTTTATTATCAGAATTATTATAAACTACTGAAAGAATGCATAATTCATGCTCGAGCACATATTTTCCCATAGCATACATTTTATTATTTTTACCTATAGAAACCTGGTTATTGTAGAACCTAATTTCTAGTCCTTTCTTCATCAAGCTAGGAACAGAGATCAGATTGTGCCGAATTCCTGGTGTATAGAATACATCTTTGAGGACAAGAACATTGTTCCCAATATCCAATATATACGAACTAATACCTTATACATCAAGATATGTATTATTTCCCATATAGATTCTCTGTTCTTCTTTCTTCAGCTCGGTGAATTCTGTGACTCCACTCTTATCCTTTGCGATATGTCTTGTCACACCAGAATTGATCCACCAACCGCTGATATCCATCATCAGAGTATTGTATTTCATCACACCGATGAATTCTCTTTTGCTAGTACCCCATTGTTCTGATGCTTATAGCCTCCCTTATTCTCCTGTCTTCCATCTTGCGAGCAAGTGAGCTTGAATTGCCAGAAGTTTTCACAATTGTAGTAGGCTCCACGGGGTACTTTCTTTCCCTTGAACTTATGCGATTTTCGGTCATTGCGGTTGTGGTTAACTAGGATCAGGGTTTTTATAGCTTCCAACATTATGTCTCTGGCGGACATAATTTAGCTCTTGCTGCACCATATTCAATTCTGGTTCTTTCCTATTGGCTATTAAGTCCTACTCTATCGCTTGGTGTATAGGAAGAACAATGATAGATTTAATGCCATGGTTCATTCTTAATGTGGCAGTAGCCATAGAAAGGGAAGGAGATAGACTATTCAAAATAGTTGTCACTTGCATTCTTTTTGGGATTTCAGTCATAATAGTGGATAAGTTCTTAGCCATGACAATCATCTTATTTATATGATCTACGACATTGTCTCACTCTTGCATACGACAAGAATTATACTTATGCAAGAGGAGTTGAATGTTAACTTTAGAGACGGTGTCATATTTTTCTTTTATAGCATTCCACATGTCCATGGAAGTCTTATAAGTTTCAAAAACATTAATCAAGTTATCTTTCATGAACATGAGCATTAGGCTTTTTGCCTTTTTATCTTTCGACTTCCACTATTCAAACCATTTCTTTCTTCATGTGTAGATTTATCAATATTTTTCTATGCCACATATCATAATTACTGTCATTAAATTTATCAATTTTTTCTAGTTCTGATAGAATGAGATTACTAGCCATTCGATAGAGAACGAAAAATAAAATCCAATTTTAAAATATGTATAAGGTTGGTATACAGACAGTTATACTAATAACAACAATAAGGTTAAATATATTTTTAGTGAAAAAGAAATAGAATAAATAAATTAAAAAAACCTGACTGTTCCGAGTTGATGAAAGAGGCTCCAATTTGAACGAGATTGTCACTTAGCAGTGTTGATTGAACAAGTAACTCTCTGATCCGAGTTGGTGTAGCTTGTATTTGAAAAGAGTCTAGTGGATAGAGCCAAAGATAATTTGATCAGATGGTCGTTGAGGTTGGATGTGCTGTGGTCAGCGTCGAACTTATCTGAATTGTTAGGTTGAAGGTGGCAGTCGCTGGTTAGCGCGAATTAGAAGTTTGATTGTGAAAGTACTCAAGGAAGAAGCAGAATGTTGTTTCAAAAAAAACTTTTGAAGAGGGGGCTTTGAAATTTTGAACAAAAAAGAAGAAGAGGACAACAGAGACTTACGTTCTTTGTTGGAGGCTTGAGAAGAAAAAGAAAAACAAAGGCTCGCTAGATGTGTACTTGCTTTGCTAGGTATGAAAAAAAAAACAAATGCTTAATAGCTAGATGTGGTACTTGGTAGAGACATGGGAGGAAAAACAATAATAAACGAGTGGTTAAAAAAAAAGAAGGTTGCTACAACTATAGCTTAGGTACTAGCTAGATTTTTCTTGAGCCACGAGCTAGGGAAGACCTCAAGTGGTTGAAGAGAGGGTGCTTCTTCTTTGTTGGGAAAAAATAGCAGCGAGATTTGAAGATGATGGAGAACCTTTTGCTCTGATACCAGTGAAGAACGAATAAATTTAGAGAAGAAGAAGATGTAAAGGGGACTCCGGTGAGCTGTTTTTTCCTTGTGTGTGTGTGTGTTCAAAGAGTAAATTTCCACTCTTTATATAGAGGCATTTCCTCAACTCCTCTCCACCCCCTTAGGAACTATCTCAGATATTCTCTCCATATTTTTTAACCTATCATCCCCACTATCTTAATCCCACGAAAATCTCAGCTCTTGAGACTAAGTTGGGTGATTTGGTTAAATATGAACTGAGTCAAGTTAACATGGGGATCATCGTGCCTCGCCAAGATTTTCCTCGTATCCCAAAATAAAAGAATATAATAATTAAATGGGCCTAAAGGGCTGAGCCCCGTTGAGTAAAGCCGAGTCCGGATTGCATCCAATTTCTCACCCATTCCACAGTTCCGATCCATTGGCCTCCATTAACAGCGTGGATAGCGTTTAAATCTGCAAATTTTGAAAAGATCAGGCGTCTCCTGCAAAAAATCTAGTACGCAATTCTGGACCTTTTCCAACTTCAATCAAGCACGAAAAAGACCTGTTCTTTATAAAAGAGAGCGCTTTATTATGCAAAGCTTCAAGGGTTCATTGAAAAGGTACAGATTTCTCAATTTCGTCCATCCATTCATTGAAATCCTTTGAATTGCTAGTGTATAGATCGATCCTATTTATTCTAGTAGTTGCAATTTCCTATTTTGATATGAAATTTCTGTTGATTGGTTGCTTCGAACACACAAAAGTTAGGGTTTTTAGAAGGAAATAACAAAAAAAAAAATCTTTTTGTTGCCTTATAGTAGTATCTAACCCTTATTTAGTTGAGGGGTTTATTAATCGTAATTTCAAATTCTTCGCATCAGTTTGAGAAATTATATGCAAGCAACTTATGGTCTTGAATTTGCGTACCACTTGAAGGTATTTTCAATGCCTTTCAAGGTCATCAGTTACTACACTTGTGGCGTGATAGTATTTTTTTTTATTTTTATTTTTTTTATTTTATAACTTGCGTCCTGATAGTTGATTTAGCTCTAGAAACGAAAACATGGAATAAGTAGAGGTGGTCTCATTGATGTCCAACAATGTAGTATGGTGGAGAAGTGAGAAAAAGAGTAATATAACTAGAATTAGGAATGCGGGACAAATGTGTACTTGAATTTTGCTCTTGATGTTCCTTCTATGAAGGAAAGATAAGGAAGGAGAAAGGGAATAAAAAAAGGCTGAGAAAATGAAAAGAGAAGGAAAAGAATAATAAGGCAATTTGTTTATAGCACGCGGAACAGGGAAAGAGTGAAAAGAGAGAAAGTGAAGTAGGAAAAGAGGTACTTATTGAGAGAAAGAGAGATGCAAAACAGAAGGATTCTTCATAGCTTTACTTTCTCATAACTTTTTGTTACTTTTTTTTTTATGAGAACCCAACTTACTAGCATCATGGGTTGCTGGAAATGACTTTTTCATCACAAAATGTATTGGGTGTAAAACCTTTCTTTTCCTTGAATGTAACATGCAATCTTTTAGCATTTAATTGAGCAGCAAAATTGGATGTAGGGTGCCACTGATCTGAGTTTGAGTTTTATTCTCAGTCATTGATCATTTTTTACAGATAAGGTTCACTATTAAGAAATCTCCTAAGGCTGCATTTAGGAACTAAGATTTGGATTTGGAATGTTGATTTAAAATCAAAGGATTTTAAATTTAGGATTTGAAATCCATGATTTGATAGAATCTTTTTTTGGATGTCTTTACAAAATGCAATGATTTGAAATATAGATTTTGGATACACTTTATTGTACATGAATTTGGATTCGGAATTGGTGTTTTAAGAAAATTTATGCTTTCTCCTAACTCCTCAATCTTTATGCGGATAAATTTCACAAAGCCCCCGGAGAAGTTTGGCCCATTTAAGATAAACCTTGAAAAGTTCAGAGAATGTCACTTAACCTTTGAAATTATTGCATATTTAAAAATCTTTTTTCCGATAAGCACCAACATTTGAGGGGTTATTTGAAAAACTTTGAAGGTTAAGTGACGCTTTCAAACTTTTTGGGATTTTTTTGGCTATAGACCAAATTTCTTGGTTTTTTTTTGTAAAAGTCAATAAAATGGGATGCATAGAAGAAAGGTGATGAAGGTGACAAATGGTCTTGTATAGTAAGGAAGGAGCTTGGGGGTGAAGCTGACAATAGGAAGAGGTCTTTTTCTTCAAACAGGGAATCAAAGAAATCCTCTTGAGCTCTTGAAGAAGAACCAGGTGAGTTTAAATATGAATCCAGTAATAGGAAGGGCCGAGATAAGGAGTACCACTCTGTGAACAATTTATGACATATACACATAGTTAACAAATTTGAGTATCGTGGTACTTAGGGGGTGTTTGGTTCAATTTCTAAAAATTATAGGAAATGTTTTCCACCTAAAATATGATTTTTTTGTATTTCTTAAAAAAATTATAGGAAAAGTTTTGAGAAATCAAAAAGTACCAATTTTCTTGTTTTTTGTACTTTGCTTGTTTGGTTCAAAACAAGAAAATAGCTCATAACTTTATAGAAAATAACAAGATTTGGTAGGTTTTTAATTAAATATGGTATGTGTCAGATTTCTGGTGATTTCCTCTCATTTTGAGAGGAAATTGTTTTTTGTAAAATTTGGTAGGTTTTGATATTTTATAGAAAATATTTCTGTAAATTTTTTGTTGAACCAAACATAATTTACAGAAATCTCTGGAAAACTTTTAATTACAAATTTGCCATTGTCAGATGTTTTGAGAAAAGTTTTCTCAAAAAGTGTGCAACCAAACAGCCCCTTAGCCCAAGCCTTTTCAAAAGGAAGAAAGACTTGTCATGCACAAAATAAAACTTTGAGAAGTGATTCAAAACCAAAATTGATCATCTCGATAGCAATTATAAATACTCATGCAAACATCTCATCCTCGTGAATCGATACGAGAGAATACAAACAATAATAATAATGTCCAAAATATTTATTATCATAGCATTCTTTTCATAGTTTTATCCACTACCACATTGACCTTCAATCTCCAAAATAACAAGAGTACTACTTCAAAAATTAGTCATGGTAAAAGACTTGACGACACAAAAGAATATAGCGAATAATCCACATAAGAAGCTATAGGCTACACACAATAAGCCTCCATTTAAAACAAAGCGTATCCAGGATTTCCTCCAGCAAGCTAAATTAGCACAACATAAACTACTAAAAGAAACCATAACAAGAATCGTCTATTTATCCTTCAAAGTCTTCTCCTCCTTTTCCTCTTATGCTTCCAACTCATGTCTGGGAGCACTTATTGGATCTTACATTAAAAAATTTAGCATCAATTAGTTCACGAAACAAAATACTCTCTAAAACAGAAATGATATCTACTACAGAGGCAAATCACAACTATAAGTGTGCATCCTAACATAAATGACAAAATAATAGGAGTTAAATATGCTATAAAAAAGAAAAAGAAATCCAAGAGAGAACTTACTCAAATGCATTTAAAGATTTGGAGGTTCTTGTCATCCAACTAGAAACTTTTGCTTAAGAATAAAGTGAATAAAATCTTTTTTTAAATCATCAGGAAGTGACTTAAACAAATAAAACTTTTTCGGGTTGCTATCCATTAGCTTCTCAAATGCATTGAACACTTGAATGCGACTTAGATTGGGTATTTTTTAGACCACTTGATGAATCTCCTCTCCGGTTAGTGGTTTTCTTACTACTTTCTTCTTTCTCTCATTAAAATACTCACTCACAGAAGCTGCCATCACTGCAAGTGAATCAACCATTTTATCTCCCTTTTTTTTATTTCTTTGAACTTGTCTCACCACTAGTTGATGCTTCAAGAAGATGTTTCCTTGAAGAGCCTCCATCTTCGTTTGTTTCAGACTGTGCCTTAGATTCCTCATGTTGCATTGCGTTAGCAATCATCCTAATTTTCGATCAAATGATTCTAGTAGCCTTTTGCATCTGGATTAGCCTGCAATATAAGAACATTCACAAATATTTTTAGATCTATGCAACAAACTAATAATTCAAATTAATAAGTATAAAGTGCAATATTATCGTAACATAGTTGCTCCATACTTTTTGCTCACTAGAAGGTATAATCACCATTTTCTTCTCATCATCTCACCCTGTCCAACCATCTTTATTTTTAATCTTTATTTTTAATGTCATAGATAACATTATAATGTGTTTTTCCAAATTTTAAGTCGATTCTTCACGTTATCTTTGTTCAAGTTGCTATTAAATGATTTTAGTCCATCAACAACAGCTTGATACACTTGAGGCTTCCAAGTACCATCGACTTTTAATCCTTGGTTCATTTGGTCGTACAACACATTAGTAAAGCTGAGTCCATATCACGATTCCAAACAATATATGTTCTCGACTGAGATGCAATTTCTTTCCTTTTCTTTGTCATCCTAATACATACCAAAGTGAATGATACAGAATGAGTAATAAAGAATTAGCCACTTATTATGAGAAAAAAGATTGAAGAGATCACAATGCAAGACATGCCAAACCCTTTTCAAAATAGGATTATCCTCAACCCATCATCCCTCCTCTTAAATCAAACACAGAATATAACCTACATCTAAACTTTAGTAGGAAAAGAAATTTGAGGTTCACTAGGTTAATAGGTCTCATGTTAACCTAGAAATCAATATTGAAGCTTGACGCTTGGCAGGATATTCAAAGGTCCCGCTTCCTTTTTTTTTTCAACTTTTGCTTCAAACCATAACTTAAGTCAAAACTATGCTATGCTATCGAGCATAAAGAACTAGGTGAAAAAAAAAAATCATCACATTCGCATCATAAGAAAAATTCACTTTGATGACAGTAACAATAACAAGCAGCGTTGTTAGCAAACAAAAGATACGAGCATAGTTTGAGAATTTTATCTGGGTTACATGTAAAATTGGAAGCTAGAGTTTCCATTTTTTTAAACTTGTCCGTACCAGTTCTGATTTTGATGTGTCCTAAAAGCTAACAGCCATGCTTATCCTGGTTATTTTATGGTCAATAATTGGTACAATATCTTCTTGTCGATGAAATATTTATCCCATGCAGTTTTGAATATTAGGTTGGATTATATAATAGTTGCTAGCTTTCATCTATAAGAGCAGAGCAGCTTATTTTCTTTTTTCTTTGAAAACTCGTAATATCTGATCTTTCATGTTTTATCTTTTTGTCAATTCACATATTTCAGTATTAATGTTGTCAATGAAGAGTCATTGCTACATTAGTAATACATATTCCTGGGGTGCATAAAGCGAAGGGGGTTCTAAGAACTGCAATTGGTCATACATATTGCTCCTATTTTTTTTCTCCTAAAACTTTTACCCCAAAATTGTCTGTCATGGTTGCTTAAAAAGCCAGATATATTTTGCATCAGATCCTTTCCCGTTGCTTCAAAAGCATCAGTTAAGATGATACATTTTTTTCTAACATGTATATTAGCAAGCTAGCACCATTGCTGTACGGTACATATACTAACAAACAAACATTGACTTGAAACAATGGTTACAAAAACCAAGCAGAAGTGAATAATACAGCAACATATGATAATCTTTGTTTACATTGACTTCAAAGAATAGTTACAGCAATTGAAACTCAGGATATATTGAGAAAGGCCAGGATCATATTTTTCATCGAGGACCAATGAGCGATCCTCACAAATAATACACTACTTTAACCCATACTTAATCTATAGCTATAGAAAAGTTCTCTCAAAAAACAAAACTAATGCAATTTTCTCAAAAATATTATACAAGAAAAGCGAAGTATCTCAAAGTCGGTATTCATCCCACATTTGCATAGCTAAATCATCTCTAAAGTTGCTCCATTCATCTATAACTCTCATAGTGATGATACGCTCCTCATCTACATTCTTAATTTCTAAAACAGGAGCATCTTCTAATTCTCGATCTACATCATCCAACAAGTCGTCTTCATTCATCTCTTCACTTAAAAAGTTGTGAAGAATGCAACATGCATTAATGATCCTAATTTGAGTCTTAACACTATAAAAGCTAGTTGTCCGTAATATAGACCATCGCTTTTCTAGCAATCCGAATGCCCTCTCAATTGTATTTCTAGCAGAGGAATGACGTTGGTTAAATAACTCTTTGTAGTTTCTTAGACCATTTTCTCTCCAAGACTTTATATGATAGCGAGTCCCTCTATAAGGTTGCCAAAAACGCCGACCCATTTGTATACCCAGCATCCACAAGAAAGTATTTATCTATAAAATTAAAATCTTCAGTCACAACAATGTAAAAACTAAGAAGCAATACATATATAATAATTAAAAAGATTATATTCCTACTTGAGGGAAGTTTCAAGCCATTGGGCCGACGCAAAGCATCACACAAAACACGAGAATCTGAAGTTGACCCCTCCCAACCAGGTAGCACATATGAAAATCTCAAATTGACATCACAAGCGCCAAGTACATTTGTACTGTTCTCTCCTTTTCTATTTCGATATCTACTTTGATCTTTCAAAGGAATAGTTAATTGGATATGAGTCCCATCAACCGGATAGCATCCTAAAATTGCACAACCTTACAATTAGTTCTATAAAACCAAAGTATTAAACATGAAAACCTTAATAAAAGAATCCATAGTTACCTCAAACCATTTCCACTTCTCCATGTCTCTCTCATTAGGATTTGTATATTCTTGTCTAATATAGAGGCTTCCAATCTTCATAACTACCTGAAGTACTTTGTGGAACTGCCGACTAATTGTTTCATTTGAACGATAAAAATCTGTTTTGCTTGTCCTATTTTTTACATTATGAGCTAAAATATGCAAAAACATAGCGATAATTTCTTCAATCGTGACAATTCTTGATGCTACTAATCCCCCTCTAGTACATAGAACATCACATAACCTCTTAAAAGCTTGAGAATTCATTCTTAGTTGTTCAATACAGTTATTTGCATTGCAAATAAGAGTTCGAATCCAAGACTTTCTAAGGTATGTCCTTTCATCCTCTTCTTCATGTGTTCTTGAACTCTCCTTTAACATGTACTTTGTATAGTACCAAGCACCAATGGTAGCAACTATAAAACTGACCACTACCATAGTAATTTCCTCCTCTCTCCTCTCTCCTCTCAAATTCTTCCCTTGTACGTTTATGTTGGATCCTTGAATCCCTTCCATCATTTATCATTTTTAACCTATCACATTAGAAGGAGTGACAATCCAAATTAAAAGGTAACCATATCCAAACCTATCAAGTTTAATCAACAAAAAACATGTAACTTTGATGTATACTTAAAAATATACTAGTGCTTGCAATGCAGCAGCTTGTACCAAAAAATAACTAAGTCAAAGCAATTACACTCTAATTCCTATTTTAGTATTATAGATATTGTTTAGACAACCAATTCCGAAAGTAACTTGTCCAATCACATATTGTTCCATGAAAGTGGAGGCTTTCGTATTCAGACTGTTTTTGACAGACAACAATAAGGCACAACTTATCAGCTAATTCTATGGTCATATTTTGTGCCAGACAGGAAGAAAATTTTGCTTTAGCAGACAAAAAGCTAAGAGGAGCTTGGTCAGCAATGGGATAGTATAAGGGGAGCAAAAGGGATAAGGCGAAGTGTTCAATGCACAGACAGGTGCATAAAAAGAGGACCTTCCACAATATTAAAAAAACACACACACAAAAAAAGAAGAAGAAGAGGAGGTGAGGGATTTTATCGTGTATAGGTATATAGTTCAGGGCAGGCTACCGTAAAATCTTACTAAAAGGGTCAAATAGCTTTTAAACACACCAATGACATATACTGAAACAAACAAAGGAGGATGTGATATTTCAAGATGAAAGAAACAATTTTTTATATTTCAAGATGAAAGAAACAATTTTTTCTTTCATTTCATATGCAAATTTTGAGCATCATTTGATGTGGAATACTACATACTACAGAGTGTGCAATAAGACCACTCGTGAATCAACTGAATTTTTGATTTTACGTTTGTTTCACACTTTCATGGAACTTCACATTCAATTGTACTCTACAATCATCTTCCACATGGTTTAAGAATTCACAATTCTAAACATGTTTCATGGAAAAAAATATATTAATCACTAATTTGAACATAATTTATCTCACAAATCAAATGCTAAACATTCCCTGTAACATTCAAATAATCCCAGAATCATCAAGCAATCATCGAAAGGAAACAAAGGAAAAAGATGCTTTCCTTGTTAACTTGAAGTTTGAAAAGTTTCATAACTATTTCACTAGTAGCAACAGAAAAACAACATATCTTGAAACGTCAAAAAGATAAGTTAGTCAGAATCTAAGAAAAAGAAGGAAAATATTGTTCGGATAACATACCTTAATAAAAGTTGTACCTTTGAGATGAGAGAATCACTCCTTGCTCGAATTAGCTATTGAGAATCCATCAAAATCACCAAACCCTAATACATTCATAATGAAATCATCAAAAAATTAGAAATAATCGGTTAAAAATATTGTTCGAATAACATAAACCACCATGAATGGAGGTCACATCGAGAGTATTAGCTCTGATCTAGGGTTTTAGCCGCGAAGATCACGACCTAAACCCTAGGTAAGATTTAGGGTTTCGATGGAAGGGGGAGAGAGAGAAAGAGGGGGAGACCTAAACCCTAGATCAGATCTAGGGTTTCGACGAGAGAGGAGAAGGGGAGAGAGGAGAGATGGAGGTTACCTGCGTTGAGAGAGAACTTGAGAGTCGGGATCGGGATTGAAAAATGAGAGAGAGGAGTCCGGTCGGGATTTGGTAAATACCAAGGGGTAGGGTGGGATTTGAAATATGTGTATTTGAGCTTTCAAATTCATCTCTCTAAAATAAATTAATTTGAAATCTCAGCCCTACTTAGAGTCCAAACTAGAGATTTGGATTTGAAATACCCTGGATTTTAAATCCAGGCTCCAAATCCAAGTTTCCAAACGCAGCCTAAGAAAATTGAACCAAATTAACAAAGAATATAACTATTAGAAGTAGTACAAATTTAGTAATTAATAACATACATTTTTATCAACTTGTTCACGGGCCATAAGCATTTAAATTTTCATAACTTCTTAATGAGATATTTATTAATAAAAAATCAAGTTCTTTGGATGTTGTATCTAAATTTGATCTCAAGTGGATCAAAAGTTACAATAAGAATTTAGAATGGAGACACTGCTGGTACAAGTTTGTAGGTTTATAAATGTGAGGCATATACTGTAAGCTTATGGTATTTCCTTCTTAGTCTAGCTGAGATGGTAGCTTTTTACTGATTAGTTTTCTTTAATTAACATACCTCTGTTTCTATTCCCAGTGTTTCTTTTTCCAGTGTTGCTGCTGTTGATAGCTCTTTACACTCGACATCTGGATCTGGATCGTCTGTGGACCTGGTGCATAATTTTTTAGCATTGGCATAGACTTGCCTGATGGATTTATCATTGTCTGGTAGTGGTAATTCAGCTCTACATCAAAATGACAAATCACCTTTAGTTGCGGAAAAGCATTGGGAAACCAATGTCTACATATGGGACATGGACGAGACACTTATATTGTTAAAATCTTTGTTGGATGGGACATTTGCAAATGCGTTTAATGGTTCGAAAGATTCAAGAAAGGGAAAAGAAATTGGGACATATTGGGAAGACCATATCCTACAAGTTTGTGACAAGTATTTCTTCTATGAGCAAGTAGGTTTTGGCACAAAGTTATCTACTGTTCACATATAAGTTTTATTTCCTTGCTAAAACTTCTGGATTTTGTTTGTGTCAATTTGTATGGCTCATATATTGAGCCCTTGGTTGCCATGGCCGAAGTAATAGGCAAATGGTGTTGTAGCAGCTTCTTTAAGTGTCTAGACTAGCTTGCTCAAACACTAATTTTAACCTTGGTTGTGTAAGCATACTTCAAGTTGAAAACATAAACTATGTGTGCAGATTATTTTTGTTTTGTGGAACTGATGTTTCTTAGGGTTTTTAATGACATGAAACAGATTGAAAACTACAATGAACCTTCTCTCAGTGGTTTGAGGGAATATGATGATGGGAAGGACCTTGCAGATTATGATTTCAGCAAAGATGGTTTTACTTCTCCTTATGATGATGCCAACAAGAGGAAACTTGCATTTAGACATCGTGCCATTGCAGAAAAATATTCAAAGGTGCTGATATAAATTAAATATTCAAACATTTTTAATGTTTCTTCCCTTCACATATGTATTGACAAAATGATCATTTGAAATTAACATGAAGAAAATGGACAATTGAGAGTAGCAAGTCATTTGTATTCATAGTCTAGAATGTTTAAAACACAATAACATTCACTGCAGGTTTACAAGTGTTTAAGTCATGGTAAAAAAATTGGATCAGCAATTAGTGATTTGTATACTTCAAACCGTAGATCTAAAAACATGCTCTTCGATTATTCATTTTGTGCCCATAGATGCTAAAAAAGAAAGCTCAGATTCATTTGTTTAGAAAATGGACAAAATTCCCAATGCTTACTAGACATATCAATGAATCAAGTTAGAAGGGTTCAAAAAGTATCATGTAATGCATTTTGGTTATAAACATGACAAATCAAGACCCAATCATATGCACTATAACTGACACATGCAATTAGCTTTTATGTTTGCCCTGTTAAATTATAATAATTCTAGTGTCTTAAACTCTTAATGAATAGTGTATCATAACTATCCTGCTTGTCCTGAAACAAAGTTCTTTCCTTCTCACTGATGCCTCATATACATCAAAATCCATTTTTTTTATCTAAGTTTTTTTTAACATTGGGTATTACTTAGAGGAATAACTTGTTATCTCGCTCACTGCAGGGTTTAGAAAATGTACTTGACCAAGAAATGTTGAAATATTGGGATGACCTTTATAATCTCACGGATAATTATACTGATGGATGGCTTTCTTCAGGTACAATATCACTCAGAATAGGGTATTGAGGTATTTACTGATTATATTTTGATGCCATGAGTGGAAGTTCTAGTACTAGCAAGTTTTCTATCTCACACGTTAATCTTCACATAATGGTGCTACTTATACATTAAACATAGTGTTTCAAACAAGTTTCCAACTTTTCCACCTTGTGTTCATCTCCAAGGAAAAAAAATGGGCGGCAAGGGATATGCCATTTACAAGAGTTATATTATTGTCAATTTTAATAATGTCTGACTTGTTACAAGAAGGTAATAGCTTTCATATACTCCTAACATGTTTAAATTATTGTTCTTACATTATGTCTTTGTAGTCTATGCTGTTGTTTAAGTTGCCGCGTCAAAAGATGAATAATCTATTTACTTTTTAAATTCCAGGTATTAATACTTGAGTGAAGATTGTACAGAAAACCTATAATTTTTGGGAGAAAATTAACTATCATTGGATGAAGAAAATGAAGAAATGCAGTGAATACTGTTGTTGTTAATTTTCGGTTAGATTATTGGGAACTTGATATGGAATTCATGTATAGAGTACGAAGATTATATTAGTTATCTAGTCACATGAAGTTGACCTTCAGTACAAGGTAAATATCGTATGAGTCTCCTGATCTGTTAGTTTTTTTGTTTTCCTTGCTGAAGAGGTTCTATAACAAGCACACAAATAGTATTTATATAAAGCTGAGGTCTAAGGACACTTGCCTTGGGCAAGTGTCCTTGTACACTTTCTCAAAAATGAAAGGAGGGTGTGTTGAGTTCAAAATCTAACTAGGGTTAGATTTTGGGATAAGTTAAGTTTATTAGACACATGCCCCATCCTAACTCGAATTGGGCGAGTGTTGCTAGAAGTTCTCTATAAAAACTTTGGAAAAGCTTTGTCCTGGTATATATTTATTCTCCTGACAGCCAGCTGCTTGATAATGTACAAACTATGAACGTGCAGTTGTGGTACCTCTAAGTGAATGGATTGCCAGTGTACTACACTAGAAAAATCTCTTGCACCTTGTTTGGGAATTGAGTGAAGTGAGAATGGACTGAAATAAGTGGGAATGAAATGCGCATGCCGTTTCTCATGTTTGGGCGCAATTAGAAAATGAAGCGGTAATGAACATATTTGAAAGTTAATTACTTTTTGATTCCCACTTAACTGGGAAAGGCCATTCCTTGACAACTCGTTGGGATGCCCATTTTCGTAAAATATGGAAATTGATGAGTGGGAATATGATATCTAACTTTCTGAAACATGTCGTGTCTAGTACGAATGAATGAGAAGTGAGAATTGACATTCCACTCCCACTCATTCCTGCGTACTAGAGGAGGTGTTACAATTGTAACTGGTAACACATTTGTGGGTTCTCAATCCCGCTTGTATCAGGTTTAGAGTCTTGCCAGAGATGGTACTGGAAAACTGATTATAATCACGCAAACACACACACACACACAGAAGGAAGAAGAAGAAGAAGAAGCTTGTACTTCGTTTCGTATGAGACACTTAAATATTAACTTCTTTATTTGTTTGCTTAAACTCTATCTGTCAAAGTATCTCTGGGATTCAACTTTATTACATCTTATGTTTTTTGGGTTTATGTCTTGAACCACCATGATCATGTATATTTAGTAGACAAATTGTAGTTCAGTAACAATGGTTCTTGATTTGCACAAATTGAATTAATAGTATATCTATATCTATTGTAGGGCGTGCCCTTTTGGAGCAGATTTCTGGCAAAAATAAAGGGGTTTCTGATAATCTTATATCTGAAGGCGCTACGTCTGCGAGGAAATGCCATCACATTAATGTCTTAGTTACTTCCGGATCCTTAATTCCTAGTCTTGTCAAGTGCTTGCTCTTTCGGTTGGATGACTTAATTTTACATGACAATGGTCAGCTTTTTTCTCTGGCTATTTTTGTTTACTTGCCCATTGTATTCTCTTTTCTTATTTTATGTCCTTAGTTCTCTGTTAGTTTTCTGTTCATGTCATGTTCTAGTTTTTAACATTTACTTGTATGAAGCACCCCACATCAAGCTTCCCTTAAGATGGTGGCTTTAACAGTTTAGCTGTAAGCCTTATATTCTTTGGGGGACAAGTTGTTGATTATTTGCTAATTATAAATAATTTATGAATTATTGCCTTAAGATGCAATTGTTTTGTAGCCCCAATGAAATGTTTTAAAGACCCTTTCTTGCATTAAACTTCTTGCCGTTCGTTCCTACATTATTTACATTATTTAAACAACAACCACAACAACAACAACAACTTAGCCTTTGTCCCAAAATTTTGGGATTCAGCTACATGAATCCTATTCTTCCATTCGGTTCTATTTTGGGTCATCTATTTTGTTATTTTAGCTATTATCATATGCTTTTTAATTGCTTCTCACCATATTCTTTGAGGTCTACCTCTAGATCTCTTTGCCTCATTAACTATAATATTATCATGTCCCTTAACATTATCTCTTTGCCTCGTGTGCTATAACATTATCTCTAGATTTCTTTGCTTTTATCACGTTTCCATTGTACATGACCAAACCGTCTCAACTAATTCTCTCATTTTATTCCTAATGGGATCAACTTCTAATCTCCTACAACCGTACTCATTTCTTATCCGATCTTTTAGTGTATACCCGATCATTGTAATGTTCTCATTTCTACAACACTCATTTTACACACAAGTTCTTTAATTGCCCAACATTATGATCCATAAAGCATTGTTGGTCTTATACCACCAAGTTGTTGGCCCAGTGGTAGGCAAGCTGGTCCTCAGGCGGGTTTCTGCCTTTTGGCAAGAGTTCGAGACCTGGAAGCGGCACTTGTTGGGAGGGGTAGCCACTAGCCTCAAGCAGGTGGAGACACCTGTGGTTAAACACAAAAAAAAAAGACATTGTTGGTCTTATAACTTTTCTATAGAAGTTTTTCGTTCAGTCTTATAGCTATTCTACAATCAACGATCACCTAAGACTCCAAAAGCACTCCTCCATTTTAACTATCTTGATTTGATCTAATGGACAATGTTATCCTGCAATATTTCAAAATGATCTATAATTTGAAAAATTCAAATTATTTGTCATTCCTAACTTATGCAGTTTATTTTCAGTCTATAGCTCGTGGGAAGTGGGAAAGCTCCATTGTTTCAAACGGATCAAGGAACGTTTTGGAGGTCCAGCTGTCCGTTTTTGTGTGATCGGAGATGGAATGGAGGAATGCGATGCTGCACAGAGAATGAATTGGCCGTTCATTAAAATCGATTTGCACCCAACTGGTCCTCATAGATTTCCAGGTCTCACTATGAGAACAGTTGAACATTATATTGATGTAATCTACGGAAAATCTGACTGAGAATGAAGAATGAGTTACAGCACAAACTGGGAGACTAGATAGCTGCTTACATCTTATTTCACCTAGATTTCAGAGGGCAAAAGGCTTTTGCAAAGTGAGATGACAGTGAAGAAACAATATTCCTTGCCTCCCATGAAGCAGCCACAATTCATATGAATAACTGGTAACTATTTGAGAAGATACAGGAAATCTTCTTGACTTGGTGTTTCCATCGGTAGAAGGTTTGCATTTGTTTGTTGTACGGTTAATTTTTTCTTCCAGACTACGGTTATATCTTGAAGAGCATCGGGATATTTGTGAAATCACACGAAGGTCAACCTCTCTGATGATTAGAAGAAATAATTGGTCATGTCATCAATTCTCAGTTAAAGGGTTTTCTCATTTGCGGCAACAGTTCACAAGGGTGAGTGACAACTACTTGCTCGGTTTTGGTCATTGACCGCCACAAATCATCCAGTTTCAGCCTGAACACTGGTTTCTTTAGGTCAATTGCAAATAGACCCCTGTATATTGTTCAGTTGCAAATAGACCCCCGACCGAACTTTTTGACTCTTCTACCCTCAGAAGGTCTATTTGTCAAAAAAAAAGAGCCAACTTTTCACTCAGTGTTTTGTCTGCAACAATAGAACTATGGGGTTCATCTGCATTTGGGCGATGGTACAGTGGTCTGTCCGCAATTTGGTGATAGTATAGGGGGTCTATTCAATATGAGTTCTTCTTTTTGTAACAGGATCGATTGATTTTGGCGTGTAAAGTATGATTGTGCTCGACAATAGTTTGCAAAAGTTGAGGGAGCATCATGAAAGGGTGGTTTGGATTCTAGTTTTCCCTTTGCCTGTGAGTGTTATTGTAACTAATAGTAGCGTCAGGTGCACTAATATCTAGTCTCCCTGGAATTTCCTTGTACATATCAGTCATGTTGATTGTACGATGTCTTTTTCTTTACTCTATTGCCTTTTTTTATGTACTCGTATTTTTGTTCTTCTCGTGCTGAAGATCACACTGTCAATTGTACTGGTGGTTTCATAGATATTGATTTGTAGCCAAATCGAGTCCACCGTAGGTTTTATGTTGTTGTTTTGCTTGTCTCTACTTGCATTTTCAGTCATGTCCATGTGATATACATGCATAAACGAGGAAGATAAGTTCTTCATATGAATCACATCAAAGCTGAAAAATCACAATGCAAGTCTAATCTCTCTATAAAGAATAATTTTATTTGCATCGATTCATATAAAGCAACAGTAGAAAACAAAGCGCAAATAGGGACTTCGAACACATGCCATAATTCAGCATTGTTAGATATGAAAACAATGTGATGGTCTTATTTTATGGTTGATTACAGATACACCCCTTGGTACTATGAGGGTGTAGGCATTTACATTTTCCACACTATTTTATCAACATCTCACCCACAACCCCAGACTGTAACATTTCTTTCGTTCCGCTGAGATATCATGTGGTGGAAATCATGTGACGATGCCCCTTGCACTATGAGGGTGTAGCCAGTTACAAATTTTTTTCCCATCTCCAATTTACGATATAAATGTGGCAACATAACCATAGTACACGGATGTAACTGCAACTAATCCTTTATGTTATCCCATCACGAACTAGTCAAGATCATTAAAGTACAAAGTTCATCAGAGTTTTGATAGGAAATTTGAGTTATGTCTTCCAGGCAGTTTCAAGTCTTCCCACACAGCATCATCGACCTTTGAGAAATATTTATCTACCATATCATCTTCTATCAGATCCAATCGAGGCGGCTCCCACTGCAAAAAAACGAAGCAACTAACAATTGCTTACATTTTAGGTATAATAATTTTTCGGTTTTTTTTTCTCAATTTTAGCCCCTTAAATCTTTCGTATTTTGATACTAGTCCCTCAAATCATTGACATTTCTATTACACACCCCAATTCTCATAGATTGCTTCAAATTAATCCCTCTAGCTACCACTTCTACTTTTGATAGGAGGGACTAAATTTCAAATAACTTTAAGAATTAGGGGATGTAAGTGCAATTTCAATGATTTGAGAGACTAATTTCAAAATAATTTAAGAATTGGAGGACCAAATACCAATTTCAATTATTTGAGAAACAAATTTCAAAATGTGAAAGATTTTGAAGGACTAATA